CCATGGTTTATGTGAAAGTGATTAGCAATAATCAGGTGTAATACTGAAGTTTGTTTTATTGTGTTTTCATTGGGATCCTAAATTACAAGTGAAGTGTTTGCTTATTAAAATATTGAGCTGAGAACTGAATTTTTAAAAAAGACCAATGAAAGCACAAAAAGAGGCATTAATTCACTTTTACACCATTCAGTTCTGTGTGGGCCAAAAATAACAGAGCTAATTCCACACATGTTACTGAATTATGCCCCACACTAATTACAGCTGGCACCTAGGAGGACTAGGTTTTTAACTTTTTGGGTGGCATGAAAAACTTCCCTAAGCTCATCTTGATCATCCTATATGTATACAGTGGTACCTCTAGATGCGAACGGGATGTGTTCCGGAGCCCCGTTCACATCTAGAAGCAAACATAACCAGCGACGGCATGTCTGCGCACGCGCACGCCGCTTTTCGCCACTTCTGTGCATGCGCGTGATGTTATTTTGAGCATCTGCGCATGCGCAAGCATCGAAACCCGGAAGTAACACACTGTATTTGCGTTGCCTGACCTTGTCCACATTGTTGGAGGTCAGATGGATCCCACAAATATTTCAGGTATAAACTGGAAAATCATTAGGCAGTTTGGCTTCTGAACAGGATTTCTGGGGACAGGGTGGGGGGATATTGGATGCTCATGTCATGTCTTTTTGAAAATTAAATACTTGCCTTAATTTAAAACACTGTAATTTAAAACACTGTAACATATTGAAGTAGAAAATATGGAGAAAATTCTGTGACCTTAACTTTGTGATAGCAAAGTTATACTGTAGATATACTGTATTCCGACCCAATGCCATTTGATAGGCTATCTGCTTTTTAAGGCAATGACTGTTTTTCTGCTTGCTCTGTCCACATAGAGCAGGCTTGCGGAGCAGCTCCATTAGAACCTTCATTAGGCCACATTAGGAATCCTACAACTTAAACCAATGCTAATCCTCACCTGAAAACAGAGTGAGACTTCGGCCCAGCTTTTCTGGACTGCTCTCCTCTGAAAGAGGCGTGTTCTGCACATCACTAAGAGAGGAGCAGAGACTTTGCCATGCAAGTGAATTATTGATCCCATTTTATAAACAAACAAACAAACAAACAAACAAACAAACAAACACAGTGGTATATTTATTGAATCTCTCAAAGCAGTTTTCATAAAGGACTCCTTAAGTTCTGTGTGATTCTGGAGTCTCCTTTCATGAATCAGGAAGCATGTTCTGAGTCATTCAAGAACTTTGCCAACACTGGAAAAGTAGCTCAGAGCACTTAAGCTCAGGGAGATCAACGAGCTTTAAAGTGCCCAACTTAACTTCTTGCTCATGGCCCCAAGATTCAGGAGCAGGAATCTATCACCCTTTGTAGAAATCAAAAGATACTTTCTTCTTGGAGAACCATCGTGTTTTATTTATATTTTTAATATATTTTTATTGCTGTCCCCCACAAACCTTCAAATAATGACAAGCCAACTAGAAACATTGCTCCAGGCTGTGAGGCCTTTCAGAACATTTTCCCTAGGACAGAGGCAGAATGTTGCTGGCTTCTGCCTGCAATCTCCTCTCTTGATCATTGCCTAGTCCACATCTTCAGCAGATCAGAAATAAGGGCCAATATGCATGGCAACATGGTGCTCTTCCCTGTGCGAGGGCCCTCAGCCCCTTGTTCAACATCTTTATAAGTGGCTTGGACAAAGGAATTGAGGGGATGCTCATCAGATGAGCAGATTTTTGCAAAAATAAGATAGGTGTGTACAAAAAGTTGTCATCCTTTTTCTTTGGCTATGTGCTTCCCTGGGGTCAAATGTTTTAATAATAGGCTCTACAACTTGAGAGTTACAGGCTGTGTCCAGTGGCAGCCTTGTCTCACAAACAGTAATCAAATCAGCTCTCTTCACACTGTTTATTCAGACCTCTCAAAGAGTCTCCTGTAGTAATGGAGAGATCTGGAAGAGAGACACACTTGCCTCTTATTTGCTCTTCTCCTGGAGACACCTAGTTTGGCTGTCCTAGGGGATTTTAACATCCATGCTGACACGACCTTGCAAGGAGCCGCTCAGGACTTCATGGAAAGCATGGCCTCCATGGGCTGTCCCTAAATAAGTCGGGCCCAACTCATAGCCGCAGACATGCCTTGGACCTGCTGTTCACCTCTATGGATGTTGGTAAGCTGACACTAAGCAAAAGTGAAACTAAAGAAGTGCCATGGTCAGATCACTTCCTGGTGCAACTGGACTTCTCCATGACCCTTCCCCGCTGCAGAGAGGTGGGACCTATTCGGATGGTCCACCCCTGCCACTTAATGGATCCAAATGGTTTCCAGAGAGTGGTAGGGGATGCCATGTTGATGGCCATTCAGCTGATTCCCTGGTGGCCCGCTGGAATGTTGAGTTAACCAGGGCTATTGGCTGTTTGGCACCAAAGCGCCCTCTCCGATTGCATGGAGCCTGGACAGCCCCGTGGTTCTCCATGGATCTGAGGGCAATGAAACAATCGCTGAGACGGCTAGAGCGCTGGTGGCGAATAACTCATTCTGAATCTGACCGGACACAGGTTAGAGCTCAATGTCGAGCCTTACCAAGTGGTGATAGCGACAGCGAAGAAAACCTTCTTCACCGCCTCTATTGCATCTGCAGAAAACAGCAGCAGGAGACTCTTTCAGGTGGTTTGCAATTTAGCGGAACCACCTGCTCCACCAGGGTCCAGTACGGACCAAATGATCTCCTGCAATGATTTTGCAAAGTTTTTTGCAGATAAAGTCACTCAGATTCGGGAAGAGGTAGACTCCACCGTGGGAGCAGGGCTGGGGCGGGAGAGTGCTAGAGTCCTGTCCTGTTGTGTGGGATCAATTCCAATCTGTTACCCCCAGGATGTGGACAGGCTGCTTGGACGAGTGAAACCAACCACTTGTCTCCTTGATCCTTGCCCATCCTGGCTTATAAACGCTAGCCGGGAAGGACTGGGCAATGGGCTTTGTGGGATGGTGAATGCTTCTCTCTGTGAGGGAGCCTTCCCAGACCCGCTGAAAGAGGCGGTTATTAAACCGCTTCTTAAAAAAAACCATCTTTAGATGTAGCCACGATGGTCAACTATCGCCCAGTCTCAAATCTTCCATCCTTTGGCAAGGTGATTGAGCGAGTGGTTGCTGAACAACTCCAGGCACGCCTGGGAGAAGCGGACTATTTGGATCCCTTCCAGTCGGGATTCATGCCTCATCATGGGACTGAAACTGCCTTGGTCGCACTGGTTGATGATCTCCGGCAGGCTAGGGACAAAGGTGAGAGCTGTTTGCTAGTTCTGCTCGATATCTCAGCAGCGTTCGATACCATCGACCATAACATCCTTCTGGACCGTCTTGAGGGGCTGGGAGCTGGGGGCACTGTCATACAGTGGTTCCACTCCTTCCTCCTGGGCCGTGTTCAGAAAGTGGTGGGGAGGGAGGGATGCGTGTTCAGACCCCTGGGCTCTCACTTGTGGGGTGCCTCAGGGTTCTGTCCTCTCCCCCATGCTTTTCAACATTTACATGCAGCCGCTGGGAGAGATCATCACGGGGTTTGGGCTGGGTGTTCATCAGTATGCAGATGATACCCATCAGAACCAGTGAAGGCGGTGAAGGTCCTGTGTGAGTGTCTGGAGGTGGTTGGAGGATGGATGGTGGCTAACAGGTTGAGGTTGAATCCTGACAAGAAAGAAGTACTGCTTTTGGGGGACAGGAGGTGGGTGCGTCTGGAGGACTCCCTGGTCTGGAATGGGGTAACTGTGCCCCTGAAGGACCAGGTGCGCAGCCTGGGAGTCATTTTGGACTCACAGCTGTCCATGGAGGTGCAGGTCAATTCTGTGTCCAGGGCAGCTGTCTACCAGCTCCATCTGGCACACCAGCTGAGAACCTACCTGCCCATAGACTGTCTCGCCAGAGTGGTGCATGCTCTGGTTATCTCCTGCTTGGACTACTGCAATGCGCTCTACGTGGGGCTACCTTTGAAGGTGACCTGGAAACTAGAACTAATCCAGAACTCAGCAGCTAGACTGGTGACTAGGAACGGCCACCGAGACCTACATTGGCTCCCAGTACGTTTCCAAGCACAATTCAAAGTGTTGGTGTTGACCTTTAAAGCCCTAAACGGCCTTGGCCCAGTATAGCTGAAGGAGCGTCTCCACCCCCATCGTTCTGCCTGGACACTGAGGTCCAGCATCAAGGGCCTTCTGGCGGTTCCCTCATTGCGAGAAGCAAAGTTACAGGGAACCACGCAGAGGGCCTTCTCGGTAGTGGCACCCGCCCTGTGGAACGCCCTCCCACCAGATGTCAAAGAGAAAAACTACCAGACTTTTAGAAGACATCTGAAGGCAGCCCTGTTTGAGGAAGCTTTTGATGTTTAATAGACTATTGTATTTTAATATTCTGTTGGAAGCCGCCCAGTAAAGCAAGATGAGCGCCGCAACTCCAGAGTCGTCCACGACTGGACATAACTGTCAGGGGGCCCTTTACCTTTTTACATGTATTTTCATCTCTTTCTCTGAGGTAACTAAAATCCTCCTTTTTCAATCCGCCTAGTTAATGGCTTAATCAATCTTATAAACTCTTTGGATAGAGCTGATCAGACTAGCCCAGATAAGGTTAATTTAGGAGTGAACACCTTTCCTGAACTGTAGTTAGACATATAGAGCACTTAATGCAAAATAATATTCTTAGTATGGCAAATATAACTCTCATCTTAAAATAAGCTTCCCTGCTTGCTTTTCAAAACCCCTGCCATTTTTTGCTCCATGGACTTATGACATATCGAAACGGTGAATACTACACTTATCTTGGAGATACAGATGCAGGCTTTGGAAAGTATTCTGGGGAAGAGAATTTGAAAGCATATGCTATAATGATTGTATAACATTTATGTTATATTTAAATAGTTTATTAAAAAAACAATTATATTAAATACAGACTAACAGAATATTCATAATACAGCATATTTTACAGAAAAAATAGCCAAGTAGAAACATGTTTCTTTAAAAAAAAGTTCGAGCTTTCTTTTTAATAAAATATTTTACCCGTGAAGATAAAAGTTTCTCGTCAGACCTGTATAAAGACAAAATAAAAATGCTTTTACTTTGAAACCTTGGGTGTGCTCCACTCCACACTATATTACTTATAAGTAATTTCACTGGAATAAAAATGAGCTCATGCTTAACTCCCCAACTGAAATCCAGGCAACTTAAAAAGTGCTTAGCTTGGATTGGGTCTTATCCAGTATGTTTAATATCTTTACAAAGCTTACAGTCTATAAATTCTTCAACACAGAAGGAGAGTTATCTTTTGGGATCAAATTGGTCACAGGCTGTTAATTAAAAAACACACAAAAAAACACAAAGTCAGTGGAGACTCCCTGAATCCATTCTGAAGTGCCTTTTAGCCCTCTAAATTTTTTCTGGGTATCCATAGTGCAGATTTAGTTGGGATTTCAGAATTCTTTGTGTGGCAAGATGGAAAGCCAGAAGTGTGTCAGTGGCAGGTTGCAGCTGCAGAGACCACAGAGACTGACTCCCTGCAGTATAAGAAGGGACAAAACTCTGAGCTCCCAAGTCTAGCGCAGTTTATGCTGCAGCCCAGTCATTCCAAGGCTTCTGATAGTTAAAATGCCACACGCAGATTCCACAGAAGGTGGTGGATATCCCTCATTTGCTTTCTAGATTGTAGCAATGGACATCTCCTTTCCCCTTCCCATCATATCCAGGGAGTCGCTGCCCATATTTATCCACACACCAGCAGTATCCTCTTTTTCGGCCTCTGGATGGACGACACTGCAAGACAAAAGATGAGATTTGATTAGTGGCAACAATCAAGCCAAATGTTTTTGGTGGCATTATGCCTGACGTATAGCATGGAAGGCAGATTGAGAGTACATGGATCAAAACTGTAGGAGGGAAACAGCAGTGACCTTACTGTGGGAGTCTGCCATAGATCGCCAAGCCAGACTGCAGACTTGGATGATGCCTTCCGAGAGCAGATTACCAAACATTCAAAAGGGAGGCTTCAACTTCCCTGATCTGTTGAAACTCAAACTCTGTAAGGTCCAACAAATTCATCCATTGCCTCACTTCATTTCCCAGAAGGTGGAAGAACCAAGAAGTCCTCAACAATGGGGGGGGACGGACTGAAAGATGAAGCGGAAGTACCTGGAAACTTGGGAGGAAGTTTCATGATACAGAGGCAAGGGAAAGCTGAGAGTAGTCAGACATGCACTCTGGACTTTAAGGCGGCCAATTTCAAAAAGCTGAAGCAGTTACTGGGTGAGGGGCACCTTGGGCTCCTACCCAAGCTCTGCTTTTCCCCAGTTCAGTTAACCCACACACAAAAACCTTGAAAAACTCTTTGGTGTTTTCCCTAAGTCAGAAAAATGTGCATGCATCTGGAGGGCATCAGCAATATCTAACTACTTCCAGCACTCTTTCCTTCCAGCATAGCTGTCAACTTTTCCATTTTCTTGTGAGGAATCCTATTTGGAATAAGGGAATTTCCCTTAAAAAACGGGAAATGTTGGCAGCTATGCTCTTAAGACTTGTCCCACTTGCAAAATCTGCTCATAAAGCAGGATGTACAGAGAACTGTTAGTGGTGTGCTGGCATAAACACATTTCCCATAAGAGGAGCCATTTATCTGGGCACCTTAATGATGAAGGCACAATTCAGACAAGTCTATGCACTTTTAAATCCCACTGATCTCTGTAGGAAAGGTTTGTGATAGTCATCAATGCTCCATTTGAATTCAGCAAAACTTAAATGTGTTATAACTTTGGGTGGATATTGCCCTGAGGACATTGCATGAGGATGAAGGATCCCTGGGGCCACAGGCACAGTCAGGCATTTTAAGACTGGGCTGTAGGGTTTGAATCCTCAAGCCCAAAGGAAGTCAGAGAATTTCCCCTGAGCATGTGGTTTGAGACTCAAAGCCTGTGTTGTACATTGTCATCTTATCAGCACTGCCAGTGCTGGGAATTAGTGGAATTTTGATGATCCACATAGAAGGCATACAATCAAAGTTTACTTCCAATGCCAAATGACTGTTAAGGTTCTAATTATCGCACCATAAAAGCTATTCATAGCAGCCCCAAAATGTGAAGAAGCCTTATAAATCACATTAGTGTGTAACATTACACACTACAGCTGTCCACTGCCATGGAGCTGCATCAACCTTTAATGAGTCTATGGTAACCTCATGAGTAAGGGAGTTGCATATAGACCCTTTATTTGGGAAAGAAAGGCACTCAATTTTTTTATAGGCCACAAAGGGAGCACATGCCTGGCCAAGACACTGTGGCAACAGAAGCCACTCTAGTTGCATCTGCTTGCCAGAGGAATTCCAGGCTTGCAGCTGACATTTATGAGCAGATACATAATCCCCTGCAACTGAGCTATCACTTCATATTGAAGGCCTACATGCCTCTTTCCTAATATACAGGGCTGTCTTTGTAAATAAATAAAAATAATTTCTAGAGAAAGCATTATTCCCTGACATGATTTATCCAAACAGCAAAAGCAGAGGATTGCTCAGAAATAATAATTTAGTAAAGATGGTGGGCAAGAAAGACTATTTTCCTGAACTCTCCTTTACAAGTTAAAAATAGCAAAGGTTATGTTTGGAGCACACATATTAGGAAGCATCTCAGGTGGGGATAGAAAGCTCTCTCTTTAATATCTGTGAACTGTCATATCGTGTGTTGCTTGGCAAACCTCCTTCTGCCAAATTGTAGAAGTTGTTGTCCACATGTTAACTGATTATTATTACAGTGGTGCCCCGCAAGACGAACGCCTCGCAAGACGGAAAACCCGCTAGACGAAAGGGTTTTCCGTTTTGGAGGCGCTTCGCAAAACGAATTTCCCTATGGGCTTGCTTCGCAAGACGAAAGCCCATAGGGAAATCTCCGGGGACCTCTTTTAAATGCTAGCGGTGGGGAGCAAAGCCTTCCCCCCCCCTCCGGCCTTCAGAAGAGGTCCAGGAAGGCTGGCGGGGGCCGAAAGGCTTTGCTCCCCACCGCCAGCATTTTAAAAGCAGTCCGGGATAGCAGGGAAGCGCTTCCCGCTATCCCGGACGGCTATTGAAGGCAGGAGAGGTCCGCGACGCCTGGGCGCGCTGATCTCAGCGCGCGCAGGCTTCGGCATGCCGGCAACTCTCCGCAAGCAGCGGCAGCGCTGCCGCTGCTCGCGGAGAGGTCCGCGAAGCCTGGGCGCGCTGATCTCAGCGCGCGCAGGCTCGGCATGCCGGCAACTCTCCGCAAGCAGCGGCAGCGCTGCCGCTGCTCGCGGAGAGGTCCGCGAAGCCTGGGCGCGCTGATCTCAGCGCGCGCAGGCTTCGGCATGCCGGCAACTCTCCGCAAGCAGCGGCAGCGCTGCCGCTGCTCGCGGAGAGGTCCGCGAAGCCTGGGCGCGCTGATCTCAGCGCGCGCAGGCTTCGGCATGCCGGCAACTCTCCGCAAGCAGCGGCAGTGCTGCCGCTGCTTGCGGAGAGGTCCGCGAAGCCTTGGCTGGACAGCTTTTGAAGGCAGGTGGGGGGACAAGACTTCGCCCCGCCAGCCTTCAGAAGAGGTCCAGGACCTCTTCTGAAGGCTGGCGGGGGCAAAGTCTTTGTCCCCCTGCCTGCCTTCCCAGGGGCTTTAAATTGCCCCGGACAGCGGAGAAGTCCTCCGCTGTCCCGGGGCAATTTTAAAATGCCGCCCGCCAGCATTTTAAGATCGCCCCGGACAGCGGAGAAGCCCTCCGCTGTCCCGGGGTTTTTTAAAATGCTGGGGTGGGTGGGAAGAAAAGCCCTTGTCCCCCCCCCCCAGCCTTCAGAAGAGGTCGGGGGACAGACTGTCCCCGGACCTGGTCTGAAGTCGGTTTCCCTAGGAACGCATTAATTGATTTTCAATGCATTCCTATGGGAAACCGTGCATCGCAAGACGAAAAACTCGCAAGAAGAAAAAACTTGCGGAACGAATTAATTTCGTCTTGCGAGGCACCACTGTATCATTATTATTGTTTTATTTATACCCTGCCCATCTGGCTGTGTTGAATGTTGATAAGGTTTTATGGCATAGGATTCAGAGAGCACCTTACTGCCAAAAAAAAATTTTTTTTAGCATTGACATAGTTAGTTTGTTCAGGAGCGTTATATTTAGAGAGCGTGGCATGAATTTTGCCAGTCTTCACCTGGGAACACAGGAAGCTGCATTAGATGACGTTAGACCACCGGTCCCCCTTATTCCACACTGGGGAATGCTGACGGACTCTGACAGGCCAGCCTAAAGTGGACATCTTCGGCCTGCGCTACCTGCCCTCTGGCAGACACGTTGCACTAGAAGGAAGCTGCCCTTGAGGGAACAGAAGCCACAGGACCTAACAATCCTCTCTCTTTTTCTCTTCTAAAGAAAACAAAAAGGAAGGAAATAATGGAAGAAAAAATAATGGATTATCTAGGACAAAATTATTCTTTTAGGCAACTTTAATGGAGTTACCCAACCGGATTAGGACAGAAGAAAAAAAACATAGCAAACGAAATAAATTACCAAACACTTTCTTCCAATTAATAGATTTAATTTGTCTGAATGATGCATGGAAGTTTAAACACCCAATGGAAAAGGAGTTCACCCACTTTTCTGATCCTAACAACTCAGCAGGAAGAACTGATGGAATCTGGATTACTAAGAACATGTTGAGTGAAGTCAAAAAAAGCTGAAATTCATCCCAGAACCATCTCAGATCACAGTTTGGTGGAAATTTTGTTAAAAGGAAAAGAGAGGAAATTAAGGAGGTGGCACATGAATGAAAGCTTATTAAAAGATGAAAAGATTTTACAGAAAGCCAAGCAAACATCAAAAGAGTATTTTGAAATGAATTTAAGGAACCGATCAAGGAACCAATGTGAAAATTGTCTGGGAAGCAAGCAAAGCAGTGTTTAGGGGTTTTTTCATCCAACAGAATGCATACAAAAGAAAAATGAAGGAAAAAAACCTGAAGTATGGGAGAAACTGAAGAAAAAAGAAAGAGAATTATTTAAGCATCAAGATGATGAAAATATCAGACAAAATATCAAAATTCTTCAAACCCAATTCTCAATGCTGATAAATGAAGAGCTAGAATGGAAAATTAAATGGTTGAATCACAAACATTTCAAATTTGGGAATAAGTCTGGAAAACTTTTGGTTTGGCAGCTAGAGAAAGAATAATCAACAAAATCAAAATAGAAGACAAATGGATAGACGACCAAAATGAAATTAATAATAAATTTGTTAAATATTATAAAGAATTATACAAAGAAGATCCAGAAGGAATAGATAAAATTAAAAATTACCTGGAAGAAAGCAAATTATCATTGATCCCAGAGGATAAAATTACTTCATTGAATTCACCAATCATGTCCCTAGAGGTTCAACAAGCAATACAAAGATCAAAAATAGGGGAAACTCCTGGCCCAGATAGGCTCCCAGCAATTTATTATAAAAAAATGGAATAAATTTTATTCCTTCCCCTAAAATATTTAATGAATGATATATTGATGAATGGAACTCTCCCAAACACGTGGAAGAAAGTTAAAGGTAAAGCTAAAGGGACCCCTGACCATTAGGTCCAGTCGTGACCGACTCTGGGGTTGCGGTGCTCATCTCGCTTTATTGGCCGAGGGAGCTGGCGTACAGCTTCCAGGTCATGTGGCCAGCATGACTAAGCCGCTTCTGGCAAACCGGAGCAGCACACAGAAACGCCGTTTACCTTCCCGCCGGAGCGGTACCTATTTATCTACTTGCAGTTTCGAACTGCTAGGTTGGCAGGAGCTCGGACCAAGGAATGGGAGCTCACCCTGTCGCAGGGATTCGAACCGCCGACCTTCTGATCGGCAAGTCCTAGGCTCTGTGGTTTAACCAACAGGACCACCCGCGTCCCTGGAAGAAAGTTACATTATGCTTATACCAAAACAAGTTGATTTAACAAACATAGCTAATTATAGACCGATCATATTGCACTTCTAAACAATGACTACAAAATGTTTGCAGATGTCTTAGCCTCCAGGGTCAAAACAACTCTCCAAGAATTGATACTTAGAGATCAGACTGGATTTCTACCTGGACGTCACATGCAGGAAAATCTTAGATGTGTTATTCATGTGTTGGGATACTTGGACTTTAAAATAGATAAACCTTCTGTGATTATGTTAGTTGATGCTGAAAAAGTGTTTGATAATATCTCGTGGAAATTCATGAAAGAATTATTGAAAGAAATGAGGTTTGGAGAATTTTTTTGTAGAGGAATAAGTGCTATATATGCTGAACAGTGAGCTAAAATAATCATTAATGGCAATATCGTGAAGGAATGCCAAATTAACAAAGGTACATGCCAAGGCTGCCCTTTATCTCCTCTAATATTTATTTTGGTATTGGAAATCTTAAATAAAAAAATATAAGAAGTCAAATTAAAGGGATAACCTTAGGGAACCGGGCTTATAAAATAAAGGCTTTCACTGATGACTTGCTCAAAATGACAGAAAATCCAAAAGAGAGTCTATCAAAAATAATTGAAATAATACAAGAATTTGGTGAAGTAGCAGGCTTTAAATTGAACAAAACAAAAACAAAATTATTGGTTAAAAATATATCAGTTCAAGAAAAAGAAGAATTGGAAAAAACATTTGGCCTGAAAATTTGCCAAAAAGCAAAGTGCCTGGGTATTTGGCTAACCCCAAAGAAGAGCAACCTGTTTCAGGATAATTATGTAAAAACTTGGGAGGAGATCAAAAGAAACTTGGATATTTGGACTCAAGTTATCTTTTACAGGAAGAATTTCAGTTATAAAAGTGAGTGTACTACCTAAATTACTTTTTCTATTTCAATCGATTCCTGTGCTGGGTGGGACGGGCTGCCTCAAGGAATGGCAAATATCTATTTCAAGGTTCATCTGGCACGGGAAGAGGCCCAGAATCAAATATCAGATTTTAATTGACATTAAAGATAGAGGGGGCCTTTCCCTGCCAGATTTAAGATTGTATTATGAGGCGGACTGTCTTACGTGGCTAAAAGAATGGTGTACACTCAAAAATCCAGAACTGCTTGATTTAGAGGGATACAACAATAGGTACGGCTGGCACGCATACCTAGCATATGAGAAAGTAAAAGTACACCAAAACTTCCTGAATCACATTATTAGGAAATCACTGTACAAGATCTGGGAAAAATATAAAGATCTCTTAGAACTTAAAATGCCTTGGTGGATATCTCCAACTGAGGTACTAGCGGTAAAAAGAAAAAATACAGAGGGAAATTGGCCGACATACCAAGTTCTATTGAAAGAAGAGGAGAACCAGTTAAAATTGAAGAAATTTGAAGAAGTGAGAGAATACATTGCTGACTGGTTCCAATATTTCCAATTATTTGAGAGGTTTAAAGTTGACAAAGGAAAAGGCTTCGCTGTAGAAAACTCAAGATTTGAAATACATTTAATCAAGACCAAAACCAAAGTTCTCTCGAAAACATACCGACTCCTCCTTGACTGGGAAGTCAAGGAGAAGGAGGTTAAACCAACTATGATTAGATGGGCCCAAGATTTTGGCCACAATATAGAGATACCACAAGGGAAAACCTCCAAAAGATGTTCTATCGCTGGCATTTGACACCTTGCAAACTAGCTAAGATGTATAAAAACCTTGCAAACAATTGCTGGAGATGTGGAGAGCCTGATGGAACTACATTGCATTATGTGGTGGACATGCAAAAAGATTAAACCATTCTGGAATGATATTTATCTTGAACTTAAAAGAATATTGAAAGTGAATATCCCGAAAAAACCAGAATCATTTTTACTGGGCATTACTGGTTTGGAAATTCCAAAAAAGATATTGTCAGGGGTTCAGGGACAGAGGCACAGGGTAGGGAGGAGATGGAGAGCGATGGGGATGAATCCCAGGACAGCGAGGAAGAGGATGACAATGACTCAAGAGATTCCATGAGTCTTTCCAGCGAATCAGAGGATTCCCAGAAGGGGGCGCCAGTGGTCAAGCCCAGGGGGGACGTGTCAGGAACAGGGGGCCAGCGGGGGATCCCAAAGTGGCAGCTGGGCGTCAGGACCAGCCTCCCCGCCAGAGTGCAGCGAAGGGGGTGGAGGTTCCAGTGTATCAGGGGAAGCAGCTCCGGCAGCAGAGAAGGGAGGGAGGTCGGAGCAAGCCACCCTCCCGGAAGGGGAGGGGAGTAGTGAAGGGAGTAGTGTAACTGTCAAAAGGAAAGTTAGAGGTTGGGCGCGCGCCAAGTTCAAATGTAGAGGCGCGCGGAAGTACAGGGAGCCCGGAGGAAGGGCCAGGTCCTAAAGCCCGCAGGAGGGGGGAAGAGCAGTCGGGGGATAGCGCGTCAGGGGAATCCAGGAGGGGCGAAACCCCAGCGGGCAGGAAGACCCTGAGGAAAAGGAAAGAGAGAAAGAGGTGGAGCAGCGCAAGGCTCTTAAACTGGTGCAGGGGAGGGACTGACTCAGAGGGGACTTCAACGGTCTAAGCGTACAGACGTGGGGCTGCGCGCCTCGGATATGAAGCAAACAATGAACTGCAATAAACACTTTTGTATGTAAGAAGAGATTGGCGTTGGTCTTTTGTGAGCTGAGACCTGAGGCAGCCTTGACAGTAAGTCCCCTCTCCACAGAAACCGCAAAATTTTTTTTTTGCAAAGCTCACGAAGTTTGGCAGACATGACTACTGAGGAGCAGATAGCGTCCCTGCAAAACGCAGTCGCCGAGCTCTCCACTGCGGTAGTGGTCTCTCAGAAGACAGTTGCCGAAGCAGAAGCGCGATGCCAGGATCTGCAAGCCAGGTGGGATCATGCGTGCAAAGAGGGGTTCCCGGGGTCCAGATCAGAGGGAATCGGACTCGGACGGAGGGGGGGCAATTTAGTAGCCCACTTCGATGGGAACCTGAAGCATTATCCCAATTTCAGAGCAGACGTCGTATACGCGCTGCATTTGCTTCGAAAAGACTTCAAAGATGAGGAGGAGAAAGTAGGCTTTATTGTGTCCCATTTGCATGGGGAAGCTAGAACCTGGTTACGCAATTTGTGGCGCGAAGATGGTCTTGCCCGCAGGGACTCTGACGAATTTATCAAAGCCATGGACGCTTGCTTCCAATCTACCGTTGACGTTGATGTGGCGCGCCAGGAGATGCATGGATTGCGGCAGGGCAAGGCTACAGTGCGTCAGTACCATTCTCGCTTTTTGCATTGCTGAATGTGCTGGGCTGGGAAAAGGACTCCTGGCAGTGAGAGACTTGTTCTGGGAGGGGCTTCATGGCTCCGTAAAAGATGAGCTGGCCAGGGGGGACAGACCTCAAACCCTAGCAGACGTCGTGCAGAGGGCACTCACGATAGGGGTGCGCCACGAAGAACGCCCTTGGCACAGTGAGGAGGGGCGTCACGTCCGCACACCAGCTAGAGCGCCTCCTTTTCTTCCCAGGGACCTGGGACGTACAAATCCCTCGCCTATGCTGAGGGCGGGGGAGGAACCAATGGAGCTGGGTGGTGCAAAGGCTCAGACAGCTGCCGGAGCCTCAGCGTCCGGAGCAGTCAAGGCGAAGCCTCCTAGAGGGACCAGGAAGTGTTACATCTGTGACAGTGCACAGCACATGGCTAAAGAGTGTCCCCAGAGGCTCCAGAAGCACACTGCAGCCTTAGCAACAGTAACAGAAGCAGCGCTACAGGGAGAGCAGTTTCAGGGAAACGGCAATGCCTGGCTGGAAGCAGGAATGCTGGGGCACAGCCAGGCGAGTCAGTAAAGCAGTCCCCAGCGCTTTTGCAGCCTACAGATCCCTTACCACCCAAGCCAGTGGTACAGCTCACTGCTACTCTCCAGCTACCTAATGGACTCACCCTGGAAGTCCCCATTACAATTGACTCAGGGAGCAACGCAGACTTCGTGGGGAAGCAGTTCATCAAGCAGCATCGCATAGCGCTTCTACCAGCCACGCTGCCTCTGAACGTCGTCACCGTAGATGGCAGGAAGTTGCTGGGCGGGCAAGTGGTACAGCAGTCGCCACCCATGGTGCTGCAGATCGGGAATCATCGCGAGGTCATCAGTTTCAACGTCACCCGCCTGTCAGACACGCCTATAGTGTTAGGCATGAGTTGGCTGGATAGACACAGCCCATCATTAGCGTGGTACCAGCGGCAGCTCACCTTTGGCTCGTCCTACTGCGCACAACATTGCATCCAGACCGGCCAGGAGGAGGAGGGCCAGGAGGAGGGGCAGCAGTTGCATCTCGGCATGGTGCAGGCGGTGCCCCACAAGTACAAGGGGTTTTTGGAGGTCTTCTGCGAAAAGGAAGCTGACCAATTACCACCCCACAGGCCCTACGACTGTGCAATTGACCTCCTACCAGGGGCGACGCTGCCGACTGCGAAGCTGTATTCCATGTCTGAAGATGAGATGCAGGAACTCAGGGAGTTCATAGATCACAATTTGAAGCGGGGATTCATCCGAGAATCCAAGGCAGTGGGGGGCAGTCCTGTGTTTTTCGTGAAGAAGAAGGACACGCCCCAAAAACGGCTCATTGTGGACTATAGGGCCATAAACTCGATGACAAAGCCCAAGGCCTTCCCCATGCCCAAGATTGACGACCTGCTCGCGACGGTGAGGAAGGGGAGGATCTTCACCAAGTTGGATCTACGCGGAGCATACAATCTAATACGCATGAGGGAAGGTGACGAGTGGAAGACGGCCATGTTCACGCCGCTGGGCACCTATGAATACAGAGTTATGCCGTTTGGTCTCCAAAATGGCTCCCACTGTTTCCAAGCATTCATGCACCACGTGCTAGCAGGACTCCTCTACAAGAAGTGCGTATGCTTCCTCGACGACATTCTGATCTTCTCAGAATCGCAGGAGACTCACGAGAGAGACGTAAAGGAGGTCCTGCAGAGGCTACGGGAGCACAGACTCTACGCCAAACTGGAGAAGTGCCAGTTCGACGTGACGGAGGTGGATTTCCTGGGCTACCGGCTGTCCGACAAGGGACTAGCCATGGACAGCGCCAAAGTCCGCGCGGTGTTGGACTGGAATAGCCCGCGCAATCGGAAGGAGGTCCAGAGGTTCGTCGGCTTCGCCAACTTTTACCGCAAGTTCATCAGGGGTTTCGCGAAAGAGACGGCAGCTATCACGGACACCCTCAGTTCCAAGAAGAAAAAGTTCACCTGGACGGACCAGGCGGAGCAGTCCTTCAGGAGACTTAAAAGCCTCTTCGCGTCCGAAGAACAGCTGCTACACGTGAATCCCGGCAGGCCCATGCGGGTTGAGACTGACGCATCTGACAGAGCATTGGGGCCGTCCTCTTGCAGGAAGATCCGCAAGGGAACTGGAGGCCCTGCGCTTTCTATTCCCGGAAGCTCAGCAAGTCGGAACAGAACTACACCATCTGGGACAGGGAGTTGGTGGCCATCCACGCGGCTTTCAAGGCGTGGCGGCACTTCCTCATCGGAGCCAAGCACACCGTGCAGGTCCGCACGGACCACAAGAACCTAGAGTATTGGCGCACGGCGAAGCTCCAGAGCCAGAGGCACATAAGATGGGCGGAGTTCTTTGCGGATTTCGATTTCAGGATAGAGTATATCCCGGGAGACAACAACGTCATAGCGGATGCGCTCTCCAGGAAACCGCAGTATCTCGAGGAAGCGGCACCAGTGGCAGCCAGGCACATTTTCGCACCGCAAGCGTGGGCATGTGCTCCGCCGCCGTGGACCTGGACGCGGTACGACGCGCGCTACAGACGGATCCGTTCGCACAATCCAAGATGGAGGAGGTGCGAAGAGGGACAGCAAAGGACGGCGAATTCCAGATACGCGACGGCCTGCTGACCCGCAAAGGTGCTCTCTACGTGCCGGGAGACGATCTCCGCGCGAAGGTTCTACAGCAGTTACACGACGCACCCAGCGCGGGTCACTTCGGCAAAGAAAAGACGGCGGACTTAGTAGCCAGAGACTTTTGGTGGCCCCAGATGCGGGGAGAGGTCGCGGATTACGTCGCCAGGTGTGACACTTGTCAGAGGTCCAAGCCAGTGCACAAGAAGCCAGCGGGATTGCTGGAACCGCTGGAGACGCCACTACAGCCGTGGGATAGGGTGGCGCTGGACTTTGTTACTGATCTGCCCAGTTCGCGGGGCAAGACGGCGGTGCTTGTGGTTGTAGATCTGTTCACCAAGATGGCGCACTTCATTCCTTGCGCGAAGGTGGCAACAGCGGAACAGACCGCCAAGCTGTTCATAGACCACGTGTTCCGGGTGCACGGCTTACCGCGGTCCATCCTGTCCGACCGGGGTCGCCAATTCATTTCCAGTTTCTGGCAGAAGCTCCTGGGCATCCTGAATGTCAAGATCAACTTAGCGTCGGCGAGACACCCGCAAACCAACGGCCAAGCGGAGAGGGTCAACGCCATCATGCAGCAGTACCTGCGATGTTACGCCAATCAAAAGCCTGCAACTTGGGTGGACTACTTACCGATGGCCGAGTTTGCCTACAACAACACGAAGCACGCGTCAACGGGGGTGACACCGTTCTTCGCCAACAATGGGCGACATCCCAGAACCTTCCCGGCGTTGGAGACAACGACGCAGGAGGAGTCACAGGGAGCTGAGCATTTAGCAGCAGAATTGCAGGAGGTCCACGAGGAGCTACGACGGCACTTGGAACTAGCTAAACACGCCTACAAAGTGCAGGCAGACAGGCACAGGAGGGCAGGAGAAGACATCCAGGTGGGGGACTGGGTATGGTTAGCAGCCCAGGCGGTGCCGGCCAAGTCGTTAGCTAAGAAGAAGCTAGGACACAAACAGCTAGGGCCATACCAAGTTGAGGGCAGGATCAATCCCGTAGCTTTTCGGTTGACCCTCCCAGAAGGTTCCAGAATGCACCCGGTCTTTCATAGGTCGGTGCTTACACCCTACAAGGCCCCACACAGATTTCAGGAGCCAGGGACGGCACCAGACCCACGTAGAAAGTCACCGGGGGGGGGGGAAGTCACCGAGGATCCCGACACTCAACGAGGTCACGGAAATTCTGGACTCGAGATGGGGGGAGGAGGGAGTGGAATACCTCCTCGCCAGGGAAGGTACCCCGGCCAGCGCCAACAGTTGGGTGCCAGATTATGCTCTGGAGGAACCTCTTCTTAAAGACGAGTTCCATGCACTCTTCCCACACAGGCCCATGCCAGCGGAGTATTTTGACGACTGGCTTTTTACGCCCACACTTTCAGGCAGCACCTTCCGGGGGTTCTCCTCCACAGAGGAGACCACGCCGGAATCGAGCCCTCCAAGGGGATCGTGCTCGGGGGTGGACACGGACCGCTCTTATTGGTGGGACGATCAACCAGAAGTGGGGTGGCGAAGGGGGCCTTGGCAAGCAGCATCGCCTGAAGTAACGGGGAGGGAAGGGTTTGGATGTGTTGGGGGAGGACCCCGGTTTCGAGCACTCCTACACTGAACTGGAAGCAGAGGAGATCGACGTTGACGAACTGTATCCAGCATCTACCCCCGCTACAACGGAGCTCCCGGAACCTGCGCCCGAGCAGCCGGGGGGGGGGAGGGGGGGCTTCGAGGGGGGGATGGATGTCAGGGGTTCAGGGACAGAGGCACAGGGTAGGCAGGAGATGGAGAGCGATGGGGATGAATCCCAGGACAGCGAGGAAGAGGATGACAATGACTCAAGAGATTCCATGAGTCTTTCCAGCGAATCAGAGGATTCCCAGAAGGGGGCGCCAGTGGTCAAGGCCAGGGGAGCCCCAGGGGGGACGTGTCAGGAACAGGGGGCCAGCGAGGGATCCCAAAGTGGCAGCTGGGCGTCAGGACCAGCCTCCCCGCCAGAGTGCAGTGAAGGGGGTGGAGGTTCCAGTGTATCAGGGGAAGCAGCTCCGGCAGCAGAGGTCGGAGCAAGCCACCCTCCCGGAAGGGGAGGGGAGTAGTGAAGGGAGTAGTGTAACTGTCAAAAGGAAAGTTAGAGGTTGGGCGCGCGCGCCAAGTTCAAATGTAGAGGCGCGCGGAAGTACAGGGAGCCCGGAGGAAGGGCCAGGTCCTAAAGCCCGCAGGAGGGGGGAAGAGCAGTCGGGGGATAGCGCGTCAGGGGAATCCAGGAGGGGCGAAACCCCAGCGGGCAGGAAGACCCTGAGGAAAAGGAAAGAGAGAAAGAGGTGGAACAGCGCAAGGCTCTTAAACTGGTGCAGGGGAGGGACTGACTCAGAGGGGACTTCAACGGTCTAAGCGTACAGACGTGGGGCTGCGCGCCTCGGATATGAAGCAAACAATGAACTGCAATAAACACTTTTGTATGTAAGAAGAGATTGGCGTTGGTCTTTTGTGAGCTGAGACCTGAGGCAGCCTTGACAGATATTATTATTATTATTACTATTATTATTATTATTATTATTATTATTATTATTATTATTAATACTCCGCCCTCCCCAGCCCAGCCCAGGCTCAGGGCAGCTAACACTGAATATAAATACAGTAAAAATATATATATAAAAAACAAAAAACAAAAAAACCACAGTTGATTAAAGTATAAGTTAGAAAAAGGAAAATCTTTTTGTATGCTGCCACGGCTGCGAGGGTTATAATATCTACACCTTGGAAAAGTGGATACATGCCCACCAGATTTGATTGGACATTGAAACTGACAGAATATGTGAAGTTAGATTATTTATCAGAAAGAATTAAATATAAATCCAAGCAGGAGTTTGTTTCAAATTGGAAATGTTTTAAGGAATATTTAAAAAGTAGTTGCTCCAATCTGAAAACGGTAGCGGCCTTTGAGTAATTTCTGTAGATAATAAATATCAAAAGGAAAACACATAGAAACTGCAATATCTTAAATAATAAGAAAATAGATAAATATAGGCAATAAGTTTACTAGCACAAAATGGAAAGGGACGGGAAGTCATTTATTTATGAATAATATGATTTTAAAAATTGCATCTTTCCTTCTTTTTATGTGTGTGTATGTAACATTTGATGATTTAGGGTTAGAACCATAGAATCATAGAATCATAGAGTTGGAAGAGACCACAAGGGCCATCGAGTCCAACCCCCTGCCAAGCAAGAAACACCATCAGAGCACTCCTGACATATGGTTGTCAAGCCTCTGCTTAAAGACCTCCAAAGAAGGAGACTCCACCACACTCCTTGGCAGCAAATTCCACTGTCAAACAGCTCTTACTGTCAGGAAGTTCTTCCTAATGTTTAGGTGGAATCTTCTTTCTTGTAGTTTGGATCCATTGCTCCGTGTCCGCTTCTCTGGAGCAGCAGAAAACAACCTTTCTCCCTCCTCTATGTGACATCCTTTTATATATTTGAACATGGCTATCATATCACCCCTTAACCTCCTCTTCTCCAGGCTAAACATGCCCAGCTCCCTTAGCCGTTCCTCATAAGGCATCGTTTCCAGGCCTTTGACCATTTTGGTTGCCCTCCTCTGGACACGTTCCAGTTGGTCAGTGTACTTCTTGAACTGTGGTGCCCAGAACTGGACACAGTACTCCAGGTGAGGTCTGACCAGAGCAGAATACAGTGGCACTATTACTTCCCTTGATCTAGATGCTATACTCCTATTGATGCAGCCCAGAATTGCATTGGCTTTTTTAGCTGCCGCGTCACACTGTTGGCTCATGTCAAGTTTGTGGTCAACCAAAACTCCTAGATCCTTTTCACATGTACTGCTCTCAAGCCAGGTGTCCCCCATCTTGTATTTGTGCCTCTCATTTTTTTGCCCAAGTGCAATACTTTACATTTCTCCCTGTTAAAATTCATCTTGTTTGTTTTGGCCCAGTTCTCTAATCTGTCAAGGTCGTTTTGAAGTGTGATCCTGTCCTCTGGGGTGTTAGCCATTGATGATAATAATGAATATAAATATACTTTGGAAACAGATGTAAAGTTATGGTGTAAAGATACAATTGTGAGCAATAAAGCAGAATTTTTTTAAAAAATTAAAGAAATAAAAATGAAGAAAACAAAAAGGTGTTCGCAAAGAAGGATTATCTTAAGAAAAAGAAAACCTATCCATCACCAAGGACTATGGCTTCCGCCAAGCCCACCATGATGGTCGTTGAGAGCCAGATGAGATGTTCCAGTTTTTGCATGTCTCCTATTGGCCCTCTACAGGTGCACAGGAATCTGAAGCCGAGTGTCTGCTCAGAGCCTCCCTTTCTTCCTCACAGATGTCAGTCACACTTTCAGCGCTGGCAGTCAAGGGGTAGGTAAACCAAACATTTCGCCAGTTGTATTACGGTGCCTGGGAAGAAGCAAGGAGGTAGGCCGCCTCTTGCTCAGGGGCCCCGCTAGGTGCTTAAAGGACTCGGGATGGAGGTTCGTGACACAAATTTGCACAGCCTAATTTATCTGTAGAGATACCTCTAGGCAAAGCAAGTGTTGGGGTCTTACCAGCAGTGCACTTTAAGCCAAGTGACTACATGTACTTTTTTTAAAAAAAGGGAAGGAAAAGGTCCACGCAGAAATCCAATGAGGCCACAGATGGAGCATAGTGAGGAAAGTCCCTGGGTGTCTCCTAGCAACTGAATGACAAGGAGACCAAACTAACTAATGCTTTTAAAAATATGCTGGTGTCCCAAATTAGTGATGCATTTCACAAATGAGACCAGCTTCCCTGCAGGGACTGCTGCCCTGCCCCCCCCCCCAGTTGTGAGGCAAGACTCAAGCATCATCCACATGAACTATGACAACTGCAAGAAGTCCTGAAGATACTCACAAAACAAGAGGTTTATTTGCATGCTGAGCTCTTTGGGCTATTTAACCCCTACTTTCTGCTAAGTCTACAATCCCTCAGCGAGGACAGTTTGGGAACAGCGGGTCCCTCTTTCCCTTCTCTGGCTGCAGCCTCCTGTCATGGAGCCAGCATTACCCACAACCTTCCAAGGTTTGTGTTCATCAAAAAGCTGCACATTGTGCTGGGCAGACTCCTCTGCCTCCCAAATGTTTGCTTTATCCATGTTTATATCATTACAGTATATGAACTAACACAGCTTTATTCTAGCAGAAAAATAAAGGGGGTATTCTCTTAAACCTTCAGGCAGGAAAAGCAAACATCATGCCACATGCTAGAATAGCACAATGCTGGCTGTCCTACAGAGAGATCCTCAAGGGGTTGGCCGGCTGGCACTCTGTGCATGCAACAATCCTATGTGCTGAAATGGAGCCCTGCCCCAGAACAAGAGGAAAACCTGTGGCAGAGTTAACAATTGGCTGAGTGCCGGTGGGGAGAAGATGTCACCATTTTTCTTCATTTGTCCCTTTGCTACATAGGTGAATTTTGGATCAAGTGGGTTTAAATACAACTTCTTCAATAACTCTTGTCATTTGTGAGTGTTTTGTGAGGGGTGTGTGGGAGCAACTGATATCCTAATGGACCATAGTGGATCACTGGCATGCAAAGCCACTACATGGCACCAAAATAAGGACAGGGACATTGTCAGGGTGGGACAGAGCAGTGGCGTAGCGTGGGGGGTGCAGGGGGGGCCGGCCGCACCGGGCGCAACGTCTGGGGGGGCGCGCTCGCACTCGCAGCTCTCTGCCCCTACTAAAATCCATGGGTTAGGGGGCGCAAATTACTTGCCTTGCCTCGGGTGCTGACAACCCACGCTACGCCACTGGGACAGAGCACAGAAGAAACCACTTGCGTACATCAGCTCAAAAGGCTTTCTGCAATCTTCCAGCCACCTACATATAATCACAATATTATGTTGCTGTGGATGTGCATCTCATAGGGCAACACAGCAGAAAGGAAACTATGTGATCTCGAAGAGCAAACTAGAGAGCCTGTTTTTCTGCCACCAGAGAATGAGTAGCTAGGGCAGAGGGTTAGGGCAGAGAGTGTCTAAAGCAAGCAAGATTAACAAGTATTCATTGCTTGAATGCTTAAATTTTCGGCAGATTCACCAACAAAGAATCACAAAACTGTAGAGCTGGAAGGGACCCCTGCAATGCAAGAATCTCCACTAAGGCATCCATGACAGATGGCCATCCAACCTCTGCTTAAAAACCTCCAAGGAAGGAGAGTTTGCAACCTCCCAAGGGAGACCTTTCCACTGCAAAACAGCTCTTCCTCTCAGAAAGTTCTTCCTGATGTTTAGTCGGAATCTCCTCTCTTTCAGAGTCTCCTCAAACTGCAACGGTGCCTCTTGCTCGCCTGGGAGATGTGCCTATAGAAACCTCTGACTGCTGTGTGGCTGCCCTGAAGGCCAGTGTCCTGCTGCTCACACTCCAAGCTCAAGTGGCGACCGACTCCAGGGGGTTGTTCCCTTGGAACGTAGCTCAGCGGAGCCAGTGGTGTCTTTAGGGTATGTGGTTTTCTTTGCACCTTTTTAGCACTTCAGTGGGTCTTGCTTCTCCATTAGATTTCTAGGGAAGCCCCCAATTCAGCTTTGTGTCCAGCACAGAGCAAGTCATGTCCCTTGGTCTTTGACTTCCAGCATTAACCAAAACTCCTTGGCTCATTGCTCCCCATCCCAGAGGGACCCGGCATCTAGCCAGGTGAAGGGTGGGCCGGTGAGGAAATGCCTACCTCCTTCTGGGAGAGCAGCATCCCTTCGTTGCCACGACGGCCACACGGCTCACTCTGGGAGATGCTGATGAGAACACTGAAGGGGCCAAGCAAGGCCAGTCAATGCCTTATAAAGAAGCCAGCCAACTGGTTCAGCATGTTCCCCTCACACAGATTCTCACAATCCTACATTCACAGGCTCCCTGGTCTGGAAGGGACCCCCAAGCCTGTAACAATATAATTCAACTTCCTGCACACAGGAAACTAGCATGTCAGGGAGAAGGGTTCTACCTTTGCCCTTTACCTGACAGTTTTTGTCATGTGAAGTGTTGGCGGGAGATGAAGGAATGTAAGCATACAAATCCCTACTTGCAGTCTGAAGTGGGACATCCCAGGAACAGGTTGAGCGAGAACAAAGCCTTCTAAGCTGGTTTGCTTTACATGCTGCATCATTTTCCTACCTGCCGCTTTTCTCCCACAGCTCACCTTTTGAAATGTTTTTCTACCCCTGACTTTGGCAGAGCTACAGATGTACACTCCCCCCTGACATGAAGCAACACACAGTACAACGCTTGCTCCAGAGGAATTATGAACTGAAATTGGGGGGGAGGGGTGGCCAAGCTGGCAGTGGAGAGGACTGTGCAAAAAAAATATTAAAATGCTCTGTGTCTGACAGGACAGAGCCCCAAGGGGACATCCGAACATATTCATAGTGCTGGAGTGCAAACAGTCCTCCTGGAGCAGCACAGCTGCTGGAATTTCAATGCCCACCCCCATGAAATAAATCCAAGGTTCAAACTAATAAGGAGCGAGGCATCAGCTGCTGCTGCATGGAGCCTGCGTCTGAAGTTACTGCAAACGATAGCTGTGAGAGACAGCGAGCACCAATTTCCAGGAACATGTACTCAGTTATTGTTCTTGGTAATAAATCAGGCAACAGCCCAAAGTGGCAAAAGCTATGCTTACTGTTGATTAATTTGATCAACTTTTCTTAATTTATTATGCCTTGGTTGTGGCAGTGGGCAAAAAGATTGTTAATAATGCTGTTATCTTTTAGGAGGTTGTATTTTAGAGGGTGAGAAGTGTAGACAGCATAGAGGCCAGGAATATATATGCACTTTAAACACACTGAACTCACTTCTGAGTAGACGCAGATGAACTTACTGTTTCTTAAAAGAAACATGCATAGGATTGCACTGTAAAGAGTGTATCTGCCTCTTTTTGAAAGGACTTTCCCTGGAAAAATATGTTTTGCAATGCAACAATTGTCACCCTGATCTCCATTTTCTGCCTTGCTTTCCAGTCTCCTGCCCATGCTTTAAGGGGACGAGGGGAGGTGGATGGGTGTCACCCTCTGGGTGTCAGTCAGTCAGTCAGCACCTGGGCACCTGGGGCTCCTACCGCATATGGACACAGCTCGTAGCCCATGAGCTTTACCATCAACAGGTAACTGCATGCCTGCATAGTGTTAAGTTGTTGTATCTGGCCACCAATCCAGAAATATTTCTTGGGTGGCTTACAAACAAGACCAAAGCAATATTAAAAATATAATGTATAAAAATTTAAAAACTATTTTTTAAACAAAAATTTCCTAGCAACCACATAAACTGCATAGTTTACAGCCCAGATTAAAATTATAACAGTCAAATGTTAGTTTAAAATGCAACTAAAAAGGTCTCTGCTTGTGAGCTGTGGAAGCTCTTCCGCAGCATCAGTTACCACTGCAGAAAAGGGCCCCTGTTTGCTTGGTAAGCCCCCACCTCCCATCCCTTGGCAAAGAATCTGGAGCATCTTCAAGTTCACTTGCATGTGGCTTCGAAAGCTCCTTGCCAACCTCTCCAGTCCCCTCTGCCCCGAAGAGAGCGAGCCCCTTGCCTATCTAGCAGGAATCCCATCCCTGCTTCTTCATTTCTGGATAAAAAGAAGCTAAATGCACAATTCCAAATTGCTAAAAGCCAGAAAGAAGACCCTGCAAAATGATATCATGACCATTGTAAAGAATTAGAAGACAATGTGAACTATCTGAAAATATGGTTCTAATTTCTTACATCTGGTCCATGGGGTCACAAAGAGTCGGACATGACTAAACGACTAAACAGCAACAACAAAATTTTTACAAGGACCAACAAAAATTCACAAAGTAGCACAAACACTTTTAATTTAAAGAAAACTCTTCTTCAGGATGGACGTGAAACAAAAAAAAGGGAGGGGGGAGATTAAGATGTTTTAAGTGGAAGCCCAGACTTCTCTCCCCAGAGTGATTAAGGCAGATTGTGCCTGGTAATAAAGACTGCTTTCTCAGAAAATCTAAAAGTCAGCAGTTATTAGAATCCGTTTCTGGCCCTAATATTGGTCTACTGTAAGAAGATAGCAGAGCTAGGGGAGAACATGGTTACTGTAAAAGGAACAAGATCTAGATTAAGTACTTGAAACCTGAACTACAGCCCCAAATATAAATGGAGGAAAATCCTCAGCTGTTCAAGATAAGCTGTAGGGGTAAATATAAAGCAAGTGTTGAACTCCTTCTACTTGGACAATGAAGAAAAGTGAAATCAAGGCCCCACAAATGCATTTATGCCTTAGGCGATTGAAACTGCCTTTAAAGATGTCACACACAGAGAGAAAGTCAATACAGAGCCATATGAGCAACATATGGGGAAGCAGTTCTTTAACATAGAAGTCTGTGTACTCTTTGGAAGGTACAGCAGGTTGGCTGGTCGCTTGATGTTGACTTTCTTCATTTCCAACTCCCAAACCACATAAAAGGCCAACTAAAACATACAGAGAATGCTTTACTAATACTATTTTCTAATGAAAGCACAGCAGACATCGCACATTTGCATCATTGCTGCAAAATGGCAACTGGAAGCAGGAGGTGTGGCCTGGGAAACCATTCATGGGAAAGACGGCGGTTCATGTGGCAAAACTATCTTTTAAAATGCAATGCGTCATGCAAAATAGCAAGGAAGCCTCGTGCAATATCAGCTTTAAGCACTTACATTTCTAAAAACAGGAGGTATTAGGAAACACCTGTCATGAAGCCATGTCTCCTAACTTGGAAAGCATGATATAAAATTCTCATTCTCTAATGGTTGCCTGACACGTTTCAAAACTGACCTTGACACTGAAAACAGGTTAGGGATTTGGGGCATCACTGTGTCACACATCACAAAGTACCATATTTTTCCATCTATAAGATGCCCCCTATTTTGGGGGACTCAGATTTAAGAAAATGGGGGGAGATGGCCCCATGTATAAGACGCCCCCTAATTTTTGACATTATTTTTTAGGGGAAAGAACTAGTCTGCTGGAGAAGAATAGCTTGACCACAATGGTCCAAGCATTGGTAACTTCAAGACTGAATTACTGCAACCCTTCAGCTTGGTCCAGAATGCTGCAGCACGACAACAGGGGAACACCTGGTACTGGGGATAATGGTTTCACTGATGCACAGGAAACTGAGATCATCCTACAGAAACCTGCAGAAAACCACAAGAAGCTAGCAGTTGGAGGGAATAACTTGTGCTTTCAGTTATTTCTATACTAATGCACAGTGTAAAGGAAACAAGCAGGACAAATTTGAGCTCTTAATACAGGATGATGAATATGACCTAATAGGCATTACTGAAATCTGGTATGAGAGTCATGACTGGAATGTAGAAATTGAGTGGTTTAACCTATTCAAAAAGGATTTACCAAACAGGAAGGAAGGAGTAGCATTATATACAAATGATGTATACAACTTGTGAAGAGATCTATGACTTGGAGCATGGAAGACAGATTGAGAGTATCTGGGTAAAAAACTATAGGAAAGGGAAACAACAGTGACCTTACTGTGTGTGCCTGCCATAGACCTTGAAGCCAGACTGAAAACTTGGACGATGTCTTCCTAGATCAGATCATCAAACATTCAAATAGGAGAGATATATTAGTCATGACAGACTTCAGCTGTTCCAATATTTAAAGGGTACTAAAGGAGCTTGTGGATATAATCTCAGAGCTTCTGTCTAATATTTGAGAATTCTTGGAGAACAGGTGAGGTCCCTGTGGAATGAAGGTGGGCAAATGTTGTCTCCATCTCCAAATCCGGGGGGGGGGGGGAGACCTAGACTGGTCAGCTTGATATCAATACCAGAAAAGGGCAGATTATTAAACGAAAGCGCCTACAAAAGGATGCTGTGATTACCAAGACCCAGCATGGGTTTCTCAAAAATAAATCAAGCCACGTGAACCTCTTTTCTTTTTTTGAAGGATTTACAAGCTTGATGGATCAGGAGCAGGCAGTGGATGTAGTGTATTTTATTTCAGTAAGGCTTTTGACAAAGTTCCCCATGATGCACTTTCAGAGAAGTTGGTAACGTGAGCTGGAAGAGATAACCATTAGGTGGATTTGCAGCTGGCTGGCAGACCAAACCCAAAGAGTGCTTACTAATGTTTCCTCACCATCCTGGAAAAAAGTGACAAGTGGAGTGCTGAAGGGTTATGTCCATAGCTGCTCAACATCTTTATAAATGACTTGGATGAAGAAATTGAGAAGGTGCTCATCCAATTTGCAAACGACACCAAACTGGGAGGGGTAGCTAATGCCACAGAAAACAGAATTGAGATTGAAGATACTTTAACAGATTGAACAAAATGAATTTTAATAGGGATAAATTTAAGGTTCTACACTTAGGAAGGAATAACCAGTTGCACAGATATAAGATTGGGGACAACTAGGCTACAGCAACAGAAGTCTTGTATCCAGATTGAGGGAAATCACAGTCCTGCTATATTCTGCCTTGATCAGACCACACCTGGAATACTGTGTCCAGTTCTGGGCACCACTATTTAAGAAGGTTATTGGCAAGCTGGAACATGTGCAAAGGAAGGGTGACCAAGATGATCAAGGGTCTAGAAACTAAGTCTTATGAGGAATGGTTAAGGGAGTTGGGTATGTTTAGCCTGGAAGAGGAGACTGAGAGGAGATAGTATAGCCATTTTCAAATATCTTAAGGGCTATCACATGGAAGAGGGAGCATGCTTGTTTTCTCCTGCTCTGGATAGTAGGATGCAATTTACAAGAAAAGAGATTTCTACTAAACATTTGGGAAAACTTTCTGACAGTAAGAGCTGTTTGGCAGTGGAACAAACTCCCATGAGAGGTGGTAGACTCTCCTTCCTTGGATGTTTGTAAGCAGAGGTTTGATGGCCACCTGTCATGGATGTTTTAGCTGAGATTCATACATTGCAGGGGGTTGGACTGGATGACCCCCAATGCGGATTTAATGATTCTGTGATTGCCGACAGAAGTAAAATTCAGTATATTACACTCCTCCTCAAAGATCCTCAATAGCTTCAGTTTGTTACTGGGTCAAATTCAAGGTACAGTGGTACCTCGGGTTACATACGCTTCAGATTACAGACGCTTCAGGTTACAGACTCCGCTAACCCAGAAATAGTACCTCGGATTAAGAACTTTGCTTCAGGATGAGAACAGAAATTGTGCAGCAGCGGCGCAGGAGGCCCCATTAGCAAAAGTGGTGCTTCAGGTTAAGAACCGTTTCAGGTTAAGAACGGACCTCCAGAACGAATTAAGTTCTTAAACCAAGGTACCACTGTAAAACCCTCAATAGTTTGGTGCCAGGATAAATGAAGGGTAGCTTTACTCTGTGTGCAGTCACTCAAGCACTTCAATCTGCAGAAGTCAATAGAGCCTCTCAGGCGGATCTTAACAAATAGGTATGTTAATATGGGACAAAAGGCACCTGCAAGTATTGCAACACAGTTCTGATTAAATGAAAATTCTGCACTATCCTAATTCAAGTAAGTGAGGGTCAGCATGCATACAGAGAAAAAGAGGCAAAAGTGCAAAACTGAAAGAGAAAACAAGACACAAAGTCTGCAAGGTGGGCTCTTTGGTGGTGCATGTTTATGTCTGAACTAACCAAGGTGTGGGTAGGTCTGGTGGTCTACAACTGCCAAGAAAGGTCATAATCTCATGAGGCAGGTGCCCAAAATCCAGACTGCCTGAGATGCCAGCATTACTTACAAGTAAATGTTCTGAGTGCATATCACTTTCTTGATCACATGACCTAGATTTTGGAAGCAATCCTCAGCAGCATGTAAAGGATACATATGTAAAGCTGCTCAGGTTGTTGTCTGTAACATGACCCAACTCAATTTTTCTAGGAACCCTCAAGCAGCTAATTACTATTCAAAGCATTGATCTATTACAGCCATATGCTCATTTTGCTGTCCATCCCCTTTTTTTTCAGAGAGCTGCTTCTTTTTTTCAACGAAAGGTACTGGAAACTAGGGCCAGCGTCAAGCTCATCTGTGGCTTGGCAGAGGTTTCTCCAATTTGATCTGTTGTTATTGACATCAATTGCATCTGACAAGAAGCATTGGAGCCATGCCAGCAGGTGCCCCAAACTGCTGTATTTGATAAAAATGGCATGGGTTGAAGATTAATTATTTGTTGTTCAGTGATATTTTACTGGAATTACTGACTATAACAGATGAAGGAAGGAAAAACATAAATGGCTGAGAAATTTAACTCACCTGTTTTTTCTTGTAGAATCCCTTCTTGTCACAATTCGGAATATGCAATCCTCTCGGGCTTAAGACATTCAGAATCTTTAGGTTGTTTAATGTGTCTTCCATTTCTCTGCGACAAGGACCCTGACAATTATAATGATCGCTTATTTATTCTTACAAATCAGAAAATCCTTATATGCCAATACTCTTAGCGTTCTATTTGACACTATGGTAAACACTGGTATTAAGTGTTGTATTAAGATGGAGAATGAAATTTTGACTAAAATAGCAAAAGAACACTAAAGGGTTAAGGAAGGACATTTCCTTAGCCCTGGGTGAAGCCTCCAGAGGGGTGTCACTGTGGGTTTTTGACCCGGGTGAAATAAAGCCTAGTTCCACTCCATCTTAGCTGAAGGTTTCTAGAATATTAGAGAGCCAACTTTGTCTTCGCATAAAGGCAGCTGGACTCACACATCTGCCTATCAAGAATTTGGCTGCTTTAACTACTATTTTACACAGCAGATTGTAATTAGGCTTGTATTAATTTTTTTTTAAAATGCTCCCAAGCTAACTGTACCCACATAGAGAACTGCGTTTAGGGATCAAATAAACTGCCACTTTACTGTGAAGACATTTAGTGGGGAGAAGGGGACATCTAAATCCAGCTTCCGCCCCCTTCAGAGTAGCTGATTAAAACCTGATCCACACTCACCTATTGCACCACACCACACTACACCTAAACTGAACAAATGTTCTACACATTTAGGGCAATTGCTTGGATCCTAAGATTACCATATTTTTCACTCTATAAGCTGCACTTTCCCCCTCCTAAAAAGTAAGGGGAAATGTGTGTGCATCTTATGGAGCGGATGCAGGCGGGAGGCTCTGCTCAGCGCTCCCTTTAAAGAGCCGCATGGAGCGTGGGGCTTTTTCCCGCGCTCTTTAAAGGGAGTGCGGCTCTTGGGGGAGCCTTAGCCGCGGGCAGCCTCTCCCGGGCAGGGGGATGAAGGCTCCCCTTGCCCAGGAGAGGCTGCGAGTGGCTATCCCATAATGCACACAAAAGCTTAGTTGGTCCCTAGGGTGCTACTGGACAATTTTTTAATTTGGGGCTGTTATTCACTTTTTGGTGTTTCTTTTTTATTTTACATGTGTTTATTGTTTTATCATACACAACTGCAAATATTTTAAAGATGTTTAGCATGATTCTAATTGCAGTGTAATATGTGTTTGCCTATTGCCAGGCTGCCAGAAAAGCCCTTCCGTCTGTAAGCAGAAACAGGCATGGCTTCACAGTACAGTGGTACCTCAGTTTTCGAACGTCTCCGTTGACAAACATTTCGGTTTTCGCACGCCATAAACCCAGAAGTAAATGCTTTGGTTTTCGAACATGCCTCAGAAATCAAACATGCCACGCGGCTTCCGTATTGAGTTTTCGGTTTTTGAACGTTTCAGAACTCAAACGGTATTCCAGAACTGATTACATTTGAAAACCGAGGTACCACTGTAATTAACTTTTTTGCCCAGTAACCAAGGAGACACAGCACATCCATCAGCTAAGCAAGTCAGTTGCAGAAGCTAAAGTTCCGTCCTCTCTTCCCCCTTATTTATACCTCCCTCCGTGCTTTTTCACTGTGACTCGGTTTTCTTAATTGTTCTAAACTTTTCTTGACTCTTCTTTCCTGCACTGAGAATGGGGAGGAGAAGGAGCTGAATCAGGACTGTATTGCAGGCAGGAGAAACCTCCCCTGCTCCTTCTCTTTCAGTGTCTGTGGCTCCCTCAAGCCTCTCCCCTTCCTCCTCCCTCTATTCCTCCCTGGCTCAAAGTCCCCTTCCCCTCAGGTGCCTCCTGGACCACCGGCTGCCACCCAGCCAGTCCCTGACACCCATTAAGTTCACTGAGCCAAGATTCAAAATACCACATCATGGTTGAAACTTAAGATCAAGTTGCCCTGGGATTTTGCAGCGCTGTTTCACCGCATGCTAGTTTAACAACACACAAAAGGCATCTTCTTTTTTCTTTAGTGGGGGCACAAAAACACCTTTGTTTGCTCTTTGGGGCTTCTTCATTTTAGGAAAAATATTTGTGTAAAATGCAGATTAAACACTGATTATTTCCAGTGCCTTTGGATGTGCATAGGGCTTCAGATACATTGTCTCAATGATCGTTATATCAACCCTGCAAAATCCCCTGGGAGGTAGATCTCCTGCAGGCGGGCTCTGTGTGTGCTGAGCTTAAGGCTGCCTCATGAGCTCGAGGCTGACAGATCTGAACAAGAGACTATCTGGTTCAGAACTACAACTTTAACTTCATCCAGGTTGATAGACTTTTCTGAACAAGGAATACATGCTCAGGTGAAAACTTTCTCACTTTGGCATACTGTTACATGGAAGCAGGCCAAACTACGGCTTAGTGAGGATAAGCAAGTGCACAGGTACCTGGAGGCAAAATCTCAGCTGCTTCACTCTCCCATCCTGTTGCTGCCACACTCCCAAGAGCTAAGCCGTGATGGAGCAGAGGGTCATGTAGGAACCCGGGGCTGTGGTCGTCTCACTCCCAACAAACCACAAGCTGCTGTGAGTCTGTTCTTCATTAACAGCTCACTGCTTGTTCAGGGGAGAAAAAGCCCAACCCTGGACTCAGACACAACACTAAACCAAACCAAACCAAACCAAACCAAACCAAACCAAACCAAACCAAACCAAACCACAGCTTCGCTTTGGGCAGCGCAGAGGAAGAAGAAGAAGAGGAGGAGGAGTTTGGACTTGATATCCCGCTTTATCACTCCCCTTAAAGAGTCTCAAAGCGGCTCACAATCTCCTTTCCCCTCCTCCCCCACAACAAACACTCTGTGAGGTGAGTGGGGCTGAGAGACTTCACAGAAGTGTGACTAGCCCAAGGTCACCCAGAAGCTGCAGGTGGAGGAGCGGAGATGCGAATCCAGTTCACCAGATTACGAGTCCACCGCTCTTAACCACTACACCACACTGGCTCTCAAGGACTGGAAGAGGAGCAAAGAGGCTCTCAGATTTGCTCTAGGCACCACGTTGTGGGCAAAGGAGACCACTGGCTTTGAAAGAAATCACTGCTCCCTCCCCCTTTATTGTAGCCATATTTGAATAAAAAAGAATGGCAGGCACAAACCCTCTGCCTCTCTCCCAAGCCCTGTATCTTGCCACTCCTGAAGCAGTTGGGGAAAGGTAACAAAGGAGGCAAAACTGGAAGAGACTCCTGGATTTTCACACTTTCTCCATCCTGCAGCACAAGCCAAGCCCTGGTCTCTTATGGAAGCCTCTGAACATGCTGCAAGGAGTGGTGGGAGTGGTGGCAAGGAGAGCCACATTGATATTTGCAACCCGCAGATAGCTCTAACCTCCAGAGCAGCTTTAGGAGATTATGAGACAGAATCCCTTTTTAAGCTAAGGTGAGCAGGCAGGGCTTGGGCTATGACTATCAATTAAACAGCTATACTGGGAGACCAAAGAGAACATCTCCCAAGGAATCCAATGCTTCTGGCTATATTCCAAAAAATTACAGCAAGCCTGCAACTTACACAGGGTCAGTGACAGAACTTGGGGTCTCAACCCCAAGGAGATGGGGCCCCCCATCTCCTACCCGAGTCAGCACGCTTGCCAGAACTCCAAGCACATCTGAGGCTATTTAGCAGCATATTTAGGGTCCTTCTGACCAGGACACCCCCTCAGCTATGTGGGACCTGCAGCAGCCTAGTTGTCTCATGCCACGGAGAAGATAATGTCAAATGCCTGAGTTTTGTAGGAAGTGTTCCCAATGGGACGGTTTCCCAGGAATGGGGAACTCATGGCTCTCCAGAGGCTGCCCGACTCCAACTGCCATCAGCCCCAGGCAACACAGCAAAAGGTCGACTATCACAAAGCCATAGGCCAACAACATCAGGAGGATCCCAGGTTCTACATCCTGACTTACAGCATCATCCTAGTTCCTGCCCTGCTAGGATGAGGTCAGAAAGGGCCCCTATTCACAAAAGATCCATTGTGGAGCAATAAGATTGCTAAAAAGTTGTGACATACTTCGTTAGTACATTTTGTAGCACAGTGCAGTAAACTTTCAATGAAGATTTTCTCATTAATGCTCAGGAGAAGTAGTGAAATGATGGCAAAGCAGTTGCCAGCAGAAAGCGCATTGAGAGGTTCGTGCTCCAGCAGATCTCACTTGGGCTTTCACTTGGCAGCTTAACGGATCAATCAACTGATCAATCAATTCTTTTAACATTTCTCACAAATTAGCCTCCAAGAGGCAATTGGCCCAACTTTGAATGTTTTTAAAATTCTTTACATCATCTATTCCTTACAAATAAAGCAATTCAGGTGCATTGACTGTAGGTCACATTACAAGCTTTTTACAGGTAACTTGTTTCTGAGGTAAAATGCATGAAAAAAATATTTTTAAATGGTCAAAATTAGTTGCTTTATTAATTAAATATTCCAATTTCTCAATTAATCTGAATTTAACCACATAGTAAGGCACAGGAGTTTCTAAATCTTCAAGCCCTTTTCCTTCTGGTCACATAGCTGGACTGCAGAGCTGTACAGCAGACAGCAGGAGCTGTTACTGGGAAGCAGCCATCACAAATGAGATCTTGCTTTTGTAATCACCACTTTCCTCTTTTCTCACCCACTGTCTGGATGGACTATATCCTACTGGCCAAGTTTTTGAAATCCTGGCTGTCATCTCTCAATGAAACCAGGTCTGTTCATTGACATACTGTCAACAGTATTTCTGCTGCTTCCACTATTGCTGTTTCCCTTTTTATTTTAAAGAAAAATGCTCAGAAGATGGCCTTTGTGCCGTTTGCACTCAGAATAGATTGCAAAATTAAATCAGCATCTCTAAATATGAGTTATTGCAATGTCAGAATTTGAAGTTCCCCAGTTTCAGAATTGGTCAGAAGGGGATAGCATGGAAATAAAGTCAACCTGTCTATTACCCTGTGAACACAAACCTTTGTGTTTCCTTCCTCCTTGTGGAAGAGAAGCAGCGCTCTCCGAAAAGCCAGGCACCCTTGGGCTCCCACTGGAACATTTCTACATTTTGTGACAAATGAACCAGGCAAGGCCACTTTTCACTTTCATCAGACTCTCTACATTTTCCATTTATGTAGGTTTTTGGAGTGGTCCCTCCCTATTTTTTTTCCTTTTCAACAGCACAAAGTTGTGTCTGGATCAGCCATGAGTGTTTTGATGCACAGCCAAGAAAAACACAGCAACATTTTGTGTGCTGTTGGCATGGGGATCTGCCGCTTGCCTGCCAAGAGCAGTACATGAACCAGAGTATTCTCTGCTCCCGTTTCCTCCAGTCCGGCAGGTCTGCAGACTTTGTTCATATCCTACACATAAGGAACAAGAAACAGTGACCACTTCATCCTCCATGTGTGGGTTTTTTTCACCCAGAGGCATTTTCAGCATGGCAGAGCAATCACTAGCAAAGCTAGACCCTGCTTTGTGTGCAGAAGAAAACTTCTGATAGCCAGCCAAAAGTTGATACTGAGTCCTGCATTCACAGCACTTGCTATGACTGGCTGCTTGGGATTATAGGCTCGCAGACATAGACAGAAAGCAAGGAATTTTTATTTATTAGCCAATCTGTTGTGTATGTAAGGGGAACAGGACATTGCCACCATAAAATCTTGTCCAGCCAGGCAGCTTAAGTATGGAGTGGTGTGGAGAATCCGCTTTGAAATGTCACTTGTCTTCCTCAAACTTTTCCTTCCTTCAGGATGACTCAGATGTTTCGGCTAATCACAAACCTCATTTACCTTAATGTTTTGTGTTAGGAATGAGACAAGCCATGATTTACACCAGCTTTGCTTACTGGGCAGAGATATCCTCCACCAGCCGTGGCTTCCCAACAGAACCCTCAGCTGCTGGAGAGAGAGATGGAGGAAGACCCTCAGCATCACATGACTAACAACCTCCAGGAATATTTGTTGTGGGATATTTAAAACTCCCTTGGGAAACCAACCAATGAAATTCACTTTTCTGCTCTCAAAATCCCTCTGATATTTCTCCCAAACAAGAAGCTTCCACATCTGCCTCAAAATTTCATTCGAGGCAAAACCTGATGTCACCTCTGGTTCGGAGCTGTATGCAATGATCAAAAGAGGCACAGGGACTCTAACCTGCCTGTGAAGTGACTGCTGGTTGACAGATTAAATGTGATTGCAATGGTTCTGTATAATTCAGAAATCTTGCAGCTGTCAGGATCAGTTCTAGTAATTCTGGCAACAACACAAGCTCACACAACTAACAATATCTAGAGTCTGCATCCATTTAAAGTGATATTTACGGAACACATATATGTTGCTTTTTCTGTTAAATAAAAATTACTTACATATTCAGTCTCCTGCTTGGACTCAGAAGAGAAATTCAGTGTGTCTGTGCTTTGTGAATCGTATTTGTAGCGTTGGGTATTTTTGGCGTGCTCTTTCCTAATGACATCTATTTTGGTGTGGTGAGCATGTGACTTGGGTTCCAACAGTCTCTGTGTGTTGGAGACAGACTGATTCTCTGTGCTGCTGATGTTCTGGTCTTCTTCCGAATTGCTGGCATTCCCTTTAAACAAAAACAAATGTTCAAAAGTTAGCCCATCGTTTATCAATTGTAGCGGAAGAACTTCCACATGATAATGTCTCTGAAGGTTATTATCACGGTACATTAGGATGGTGCACGGAGCATTCAGGATAGCAAAAATAAGAAACTGCAACCTACTTTTTTACAATGGGGGAGACAAAACAGGGAAGGGCAAACAATAGGAAAAAGGGGGTGAAAGTGAATGGACGAAGCTGCGCTTATGGAGGCTTTCATAAACATAAAAAGGTTTCAGCTACTCAGGCCACAATGCTTAAAAACCAGGCACTTATCCAGGAGGGCTCCACTGAAGTCAGTGGAGCTATTTTGGAGTAAGTGGTTTGAAGACAGCAGCCTCAATATCATAGAGACGGCAGAATCTATTTCCTGAACAGAAAGAGTTCAGTATTTTCATGACTGAAGGAACCTAGTGACTTTGCAACCAATCATGCCAATGTTATTATTGGGCTGCAGGAGTTGTGTGTCTTTCATTTATATTTAGATGTTTGAAACCTGTCCTATAAGCTCTAAATTGATTTGTTTTCACAGTCATAATTTTTAAACCACTAACATCTAGCAAATCACCTTGCCTGAATTTGAAGCATTTCCACTTCTTACCAGGAGAGGGCGTATTTTGTCATGACTTGATCATTTCTGAAGTCTGGACCCCAATGAGAAGTTTGTCAGCAACTTACGCCCCTGAAAGGCATGCAAATATCTATACAGGTAATTTGTCAAATTTGCATGCCTTGCAGGCATATATTCATGGTGCATAAAATGCACTGTGCTTATATTTATGATTAACATGAAAAACAATGTGTTTTCCTCTGAATGAGGAGGAAACTAATAACGAAAGGTGACCCACCATCTATGACAAATGGGTTGTGTCAGGGAACTGACATCGGAGCTAGAGGCGGAGGGAAGGCTCTCAAATGATGCTGGAGAAGGGCCCAGCAGGGAGAGAGGCAGCTCAACAGATGGGGAAGCAAATCAGCGCAACACCAGGAATAAAGGGGGGCAGATGGGGGAATCGGCGAGAGGGCTCCCAGACTCTTCACCGGACACCAGCGGGGAGAGCACGGGTCCTCCGCTACCCACGCCCTCCCTGCGCAGAAGACTTCCGCGTAGAGAGAGTAGGAGGAGACTGGGTGTCAAACAACTTTTATGTTGGAAGACATTTAAGAAACACCCACTGACGGATTCTGCTAGCGACTGAGGCAGCCACGAAGTGAAGGGCTGCCCAGACTGAAAGGTTTAGCAAGGCAACAAAGCCAGGAGAGGCGGCAACTTACGCACGAGCAACCCATACTCATTACAGGTTGATATTTATTTAAATGGATATTCTGACCAATTGCTTATACAGCTGCTGTCATTGGGCTTTATTCCATGTTCTAAATTATTTCATATTTAATTCTCTTTAAATAAATCTAGAATCTACAGTGGTACCTTGGGTTAAGAACTTAATTCGTTCCGGAGGTCCGTTCTTAACCTGAAACTGTTCTAAACCTGAGGTACCACTTTAACTGAAAGGGCCTCCTGCTGCTGCCGCACGATTTCTGTTCTCATCCTGAAACAAAGTTCTTAACCTGAGGTACTATTTCTGGGTTAGTGGAGTCTGTAACCTGAAGCGTCTGTAACCTGGAGCATCTGTAACCCGAGGTACCACTGTATTTGAAAGCTGTGAACATTGTTCTGCTATGATCCTTGGACATTATGCTGATTTGGCTTTTGCTAAGCATTACCAAGAATTGCTTTCAAATATGGGACAGACACAATGCTTGCAGGTCTGCACAATATTTCGTCTTCGTGTGACTGCAGCGGATTGCATTTGGTCTTGGATGTTTTTAAAGGGAGCATCTCTCAAGCTTGCTTCAGGCTTCCATTTCAGCTGTCACCTGTGGCAATTACACTGAGAATGCACAACTATTAAATGAAGAGCAGAGAACTGCCTGGCTTTAGAACTGACCACAGCAAATGTGTACTGACATCTTTATTCAAAATGACACAAGGCAAGAAGTTCTGCAGTGGAGCTGAAGGCCTGAGCAGCAGAAAATGTGGCCGGTTGGCAAAAGGGGGGCCAAGGCATCACCTTCTGGCAGGTGGTTTTGGCACAGCTACTACTGACACTCGGCACACACAAAACATAAACGTTTAAGAAACCAGATTTGAGGAAACAGAGTATTCTGTTTTCTATGGGTTTTATTCAAAGCCTCAGCAATGTTTAAACTTCACACTGGGGTTTGTTAATTTGGGTATTTTGCACAATTCAATTTAAAACATACACACAGAAAGTATGTTAATAAAGTCTGCACAAATTTTCTGTTGAAAAACCTTATTTTTGTTTTTAGATTTTTTTTCAAGCATTCCATGTTACTTTATCATTTCCCATCTGCATATATATATATCTTTAGAAAATAGTTTGCATATCTATTACCGGATCATGACTAACTTATTTATGTGATCTGGCAATGAACTATTCATAAAAATAGCAACCTGATTTCCCCTCCCCCTTTGAACTTTGAGCATAGTTAGAAATAATTATGTCCCACTGCCCAGGCATATATAGGCCTTTCCAAAGTTTGGAAGAGACTGAATGAGAAAAGACCCTGTTATTTTACACAACGGTTGCCAAGTTAGCTTCATCTCCTTTTATAGTTGCCTCAGAATCACTCTGGAAAGGAAAAATGGGGTTGTCTAAGCAACGTAGCCTTTTATTTGGGGGTGGGGTGGAGATGTTTCGCCCTGTCTTTGGAATCTCTGAATGCCAGAAGGCTCTGGCCAAGGCAATGGAAGAGGGCAATTGTGCCACCTACATCATTTCCAAAATATGAATACGTCACACAGCAAGCAGGTCTGTGAATAATAAATAAATAATAATAATAATAATAATTTATTTTTTGTACCCCGCCCATCTGGCTGGGTTTCCCCAGCCACTCTGGGAGGCTTCCAACAAAGATTAAAAATACATTAAAAGGTCACTTCCCTAAACAGGGCTGCCTTCAGATGACTATCTTGCTTTGCTAAACATCCACCCATGAAACCCCCAGTTGTGATGGAGGAATGCTTCCCCTTCGACAGGCACAACACTGGTCTGTAGTTTTTTGCTGAGCATGTTACCATACAATCCTAGAACTGCAGAGCTGGAAGGGACCCCCTGCAATGCTGGACTCTCAACTGAAGCCCCCACGGCAGATGGCCATCAGAAGAGGAGAGCCCCCCCCCCCCGGAGGGAGCCAGGCTTTCCTTTTTGGACTCCCGGCTCCCTTGAGATGGAAGCTCCGCTAGGGACTTGCCGAGGGGCTGAGCTGATTGGTTTGCCCAGGTTCTCCCATAGCAAATCCCCCAAAAATATATACATATATTTATACAATGATTTATTTGCTTTTTGGAGTTTGGACGGATGGTTTTGCTGTTTTGGAGTTAGTTAAATAGATCTGATGGTTCTTAGAGCTTGTGTTTTGTTTTGTTTATACTCTGTACTCTGCTTCAGGGGGTTTATGCTGTGAAGCCATCTATAAATTTGTTTAATTTTTATGCTTCCTCTCTCCCCACTCGTCTCTAGAAAAGGAGGATGCAGCTTTCTTGTCCTAGTGCAGCCGTTTCAAACTTCCTGCTTTCAGGGAATGGTCTGTCAAAGACCCCCAGCAGCAGGGATGGGCTGTCCTGTGGGGCCACCTGAGGTGAAATAATAACGTGCTGCCCCACTTCTGCCACTGGTGGAATGCACCACCATGTGCCAAATTAGGAGAGGGGGCAGTGTCCTGCCAGGCTGTGCCACTTACCAGAATGCCAGCCTTGCAGAAAATCGGTCAGAGGAGGGTGCTCTGGCAGCCAAAGCGGTGGGGTGGGCAGGGGGCCCCCTCTTGCACTTCTGCCACCTGAGGCAAATGCTACCCCCCCACCTCACTAGCCAGCTCTGCCCAGCATATGCCAGCATGTGTCAAAGAGTCTGCAGCACATTCCAAGCTGCGCACAGTTTATGTGGCACAAGGGCAAGTCTTGCGGAGCCACACCGCTGCCCCATGCTACTAGCCAGTGTGACCCAAGACAACAATGGTACATGAGCTCCATTTGGGGAGTCCACATGTCTGTTAAGAACACGTACACTGTGAAATCCACATTGTGATGGAAGACAATAAAAGAAGCCCCCACCACACACTCTTTAAAAAAATAAGCATACAGCATCTAGCACAATGCATTGCAAACTGAAAACAGTATTAAAGTGATCCACCCAGACCCTCTATGCTTTTCGAGTGCTCTGGGGGGTGGGGGAGTTTAGGAACCCCAGACCTAGAAGATAATGCATACTCTCTTAAGCTGAACATTGCAGTGGGAAATTGGCACCCTGAGAGACCTGCCTGTCATTATGGATCCTTTACAGGGAGGAAGCTCTGAGAAGCTTCCAAGGAACCCCAGGGGTTCTGGAACAGTGAGGGTCCTATTCACTTTAGGCAAATCTCAGCTTGATTGCTGATTTTTTAATTTAAAAAAATGGTTCAGTGCTGCATTTTTCTTTCATTTCAGTAAGTATTTTCATTTCTTAGTATTTTATTACAAAGACATCTCATAGCAGTTCAGAAAGATAAAACCATTTTTTAAAAAGTCATACATATTGCAGCACACATAGGCCAGAACAACTCAGCGACAGGGGTTCAGGAAAGTCCAAGCAAACAGGTGAGTTTTCGCTAAGTATCAGAAACCACCCCCCTTTGCTTAGTGCTTCCTGAATAAAGGGGGGGGGATTCCATTCCTGAGAGTCAGTCTGCTTCTGCAGGGACCGCCATGGCAGCCCCCAATAAGCCCCATTGAGAAGGAAGGCTGCACATCACATCAGCTGCACTTATTGAGCTGAATCTTTCCACTCACTTCTGGCCACTGAAACTGCAATCCCACATATATGAAGTCCCATGTCTGTAGCACTGCACTGTGAGAGTCCTCTATGCCCCACTGCAGAGAGACGGGGTCTTGCTTTTATTCACCGTTAGGGAAATCAAAGGTGAAAGAATCAGGGCAAGTAGTATCCCTAACGTGGAAAAAGGAGCCAGCCCGGCCTGCTCATTCCCACGGCTGATATATGAGGCCACAAAACCCACCTTTTCCTCTTCTTAACCGACAAATAGGCTCAGGTTTGATTTGTACATCTGATTAAATAATAGCTGCCTATTATTCTGAGTGGACTCCAAGAAATGAAAGAAACTGATGTAGCGCAATGCTGTTTGCAAGCGTGGCATATTTAAAGATTTTCCTCATTCAATTGTCACAAGGTGAGAGTCAGAAATGTGCAATTGTTAATGGGTCATGTTGAATTCCAAAATCCACATTGGAGTGATACCTTCCTCAGGCCCAATCAGAACGCATGGCCTGCTTTAGAGTTCTCCAGAACTCTTCATATCAGGTGAGATGTTCAAAAGGACGGGCAAGGGGGATGGAAGTAGAGTACAAAAACTGGGCTGATACTTGTAAGCCATGAGGTTTGCTTGTAAGTTCAGTTCCAGGGTAGATATTGCAAGCTAAACAAATCCGTGGCAGGTGCTACAGGCATCAGGTTACACACCTAGATCCTGGGATAAAGAAGCAATTTCTACTCATCATCTGTGAGAAATTAAAGTCTGGTAGTAATCCAAATCTTAAATAACAAGAACAACAACAACAACAACAATTTATGGTATTATTTATACTCCGCCCATCTGGCTGGGTTTCCCCAGCCCCTCTGAGCAGCTTACAACAAAAATTTAAAAGCACAACAAAACGTCAAACATTAAAAAATTCCCTAAACAGGGCTGCCTTCAGATGTCTTCTAAAAGTCAAATAGACACAGGTTCCTGGGAGTTGAAGTAAAGAGAAGCATGACAGTCTTTATTTATTTCTTTATTTATTAAATAAACGAATTTGCATGTCATCCTTGCACAGGGGCCATGCTAATCTTCTCTGTATCGTTCCAATTTTAGTATATGTGCTGCCGAAGCGAGCACATGACAGTCTTTATTTGAGGAAAGGCAGGAATGAACGTTGGGTGGCATACCAAGTTTTAAAAAGTCAATCGAAACAACTGATTGGAAGATATATAACCCTCAAAGTGCAACGCCCATCTCTGGATGGTGAAAAATTATCTTTCTCGGTTGTAGATTCTGCCTTGAATGGGTTGTTTTGGATAAGAAGCAGCCACTGATTCTTTATCCCAGAATCCTAGATATGTAATCTCTGCTGCACTTGGGAATGCTGTCATCTCAACCTTGGAACTGAGGATACAAGATGACCTCTTGGCTGTTAACACCCACTCTTAATTTTTGTTTATTTTTGTTAATTTTTCCTGACCCCATCCCTTGCTTTGTGTAACATCTCACCTGATGAAGGGCTCTAAAGCTTGCCACACTTTCATGATATTTTGGCCCAGCTGTGGACTCGGGATTTTTTTTTCTAATGGACTTTTGTTTTAATGGCCCAGTCTGCAATGTGATGCTTAGCCAAACCGTGAACCATGACAATACCACAAATGTGCAGGTATGCACAGTAAAATTAATATATATTTATTTTTTTTAATGGCCACTTTGCTCCTCCCTGGTCATCCTGCTGTCACCCTACCCAGAGCTAAACCATGTGATGTCCAAACCCAGCCTTGTGGTTTTCCTCTCCCAGACAAGCCATATGCAGTAAGGCAAGAATGAGCCTTGGCTAGGTCTTCGGGTTTGAAAGGCCACCTGTGGATGCAACACAAAGGCCTTAACTCCAAGTAGGGTAGCCCCACAGGAGCAAAGCAGCCTTGATGTCTACAGTGAGTGCCCACACATTCCCACTTAGCTATGGTTTGGCCTAAAGTCCTTCCTTGCATGCAAGGCTAAGACACTCTGGGGACTTAGTCAACTCAAGTGTAGACAGAAAAACAGCTTCTTAATTTAGGAAAGGTCAGCCAAAAACGATCTGCTATCAAGAAACAAATCCTCAAATGATCTTCATTATCAGCAAACCAGTCTCTTATAATGCTTTTTTTTTTTAAGCCTATGCAACTTTTCCAATCCTGAATTCCAACCTTGTGTTCTGAGAAAAACTGTGTATAAGGAAGTTGACTTGACCACCTGTGCTCAGTTATAGGCACCACTGTAATTGGAGTCACTGGTTTTCTTCTGCAAGTTTTTCTGGCAATTTACAGTAGTTTTGTTAAAAAACAAAACAACTGTAAATTGAGAATCCTCCTTTTTTGACCCCTTAGGAAGTCACTGGAAGCCCCCAAATTTAGTTTGAAAATGACAATTTACACCATCATTTGTATCATACATTATTACTATAGCAAATCCGAAACCTGCTGAGAGTATGTCCCACTGAAAACAATGGAACTTATTTCTGACAGGAAACACGTAGGACTGAACTGAAGAGTTGCAATTCTAGGCAAACTCACAAGGGCACAAGTCTCTGTTGAGCATTAAGCTGCACTTCCAAGTGAATATGAACAGGGTTGCACAGCACAGTTTTTGCTCCAGGCAGCGCTTCCCTCCTCCCCTCCACTTTCTAGGAAGGCTGCAAATAAGACACTTGACTATGCTTGTTTTAGTCTCCTGAGGTTGATGAGACTGACCATTCATTCGTTCATTCGGGAATTGGGAAGGCTCTTATGCAGTCCATCAGTGTCCCCTCCCTCCATCTTTTGCGTGTGCAAAGAATGGTTTTGAGACATAGATAACTTTTTAAAAAGTTTATATATATATATATATATATATATATATATATATATATATATATATATAATAATTACTGAACTGAGCCAGAGCTGACACATTTTTGCAACAGAATACAGTCACAATTGTGACCAGAATATAGAGCAATTCAACACCTAAACTTTTTTCTCATTTGGGAGCTAAGTGTTCGCAAAGGAAAAAATGTGTCAAGTGAGAAGGTCAAAGGTCATATTACATCATCATGCCCTTTTCTGTCTTAAAGTCAAGCATTTTGGTCACAGGTGATACATCAGAAACTGAGCTGTTGTGGACACAAGCACAAATCAAACGCCAGGGGGCGATACAGCAAAGCAAACTTCACTTGCTCTCCCAACAGCCGAGCCGAAATTGCGCAGAAAATGGTCCGCACAAAATTCGCCCAGCCAAGCGCCAACTCCGCTCCCAGCGAGCAGTTTCCGCACCCGGAGCGGGGCAGGCCGGGCGCCGGGGCATTTCAAAATGCGACTGAAGGAGAGCGGGCTTGATTTATAGCATTTGTATGCCACCCGGTAACATGAAGGTCTCCGGCTGGCTTACAATGAATAAGGAAAGGTCGTTTACAGCCCCAGACCAGACGCGAAGTCCGAAGCGCCAGAAAGAGCGCTGGAAACCAGCAGAATCTGAGAAGGCAGATTTCTAAGGAAATGGCCCGCGGCGAGAAGCTGCGCACAGCCCGAACTGACGGCACGAGGAGGGACCGGAGCGGCGCACGGGACCTTCCATTCCTGCGCCGCGGGAAGCTGCCCCGGGGGAAGCGCCCGCCTGTCCCGCCAGCCGCGCTGAGGGCGGGCGGGCGGGCGGGCGGCTCCTCCCTCCCTCCTTCGCTCGCTCGCTCGCTCACCTGGCCCGCGGGTCCCTCGCAGCAGCAAGGCTCGCACTTCGCCGCCGCCGGCTCCGGGCGCGGGCTCCGGGGGGGCGCCGCTGACGTTGGTGCAGAGCCCCTTGCCGTCGAGCAGCGCGTGGAGGGGCTTCTGCTCGCCCCGGCGCGGCCGGCAGCGCAGCCCGGCGCCGCACAGCTCCGTGTAGATGCCGCACGGCTGGCCCTCGCTCAGTGCGCACGTCAGGCAGCAGCCGCAGCCCGGCTCGCGCACCAGCTCCGCGCACGGCGCCGCCGGCGCCTGGCACTGCGCCCGCGCCCGGGAGTCGCACGGCTCGCAGCGCACCACCGGGCCCGGAGGAGCCCCCGACGCCGCCGCCAGAGCCCACAGCGGCGCCCACAGCAGCGCGCACAGGCGGCGCACCATCGCCGTCCCACGGACCGCGGGACCCGGCGCGGCGGGCGGGCGGGCGGAGGACGCGGCGAGCGAGGCTCTCCGGCGCCCGGGCCCCGCAAGGCTCCCTCTCGGGCGGCCCACCCGTCAGGCGCGGCCGGAGCTGGACGGAAGGAGCGCCGAGGCAGCGCGAGAGGCAGCCAGGCGCGCCCGGAGAGAGCTCCCTGCCGCCGGACTGCGCGGCTCGTCCATCTGCCGCCCGCCCGCCTCCGGCGCCGCCTATATAGCGCCCTCGCGGGACCCGCCCGCCCGCCAGCCCGAGGGGCGGGGCTGGGGGCAGCGCGGCGGCCGAGGAAGCGCCCGCTCGCCGGACCCTTTGGGATTGCCCCCGGCTTCCTATTCAGCACCCGCCGTAACTTAATCAAAAATAAGTATACTTTTTTTTGGGGGGGGGGAGTTGCTAACCTGTACAGTATTCTTAAATCTAGCAATGTGTGTTGTCTGCCTTATGGAAAGATACCCACCTGCTTGGGCAGAGCTTTCATTAAGGCGTTATTCTCAGTCTTGCCGTCTATATCCATAATGCAGTTGCACCGAAACTATTATTCAGGAAGCAAGTGTATTATCCTATTAATATGCAACAAGACTCCCGTTTCAATCACTTGAATGGCAGTGCCGTTCAAACTGCGGGCAAGCGCCGCGTCTCGTCATCAATTGTGCGGGGCGGGGCTTACCTGTGCCCCCCCCCCCCCATATTTTATTTAGGTTGATACCTCTGTATCTCAGAATCCCAAGCAAAATTGAGATCTAATATCATCATATATCATCATCATATAAAAGAACAGGGCAAGGAGGCTTCCGTTTATTGAAGCTTTAAGCGATGGGAAATTATTTGTCTCTGTGTTTTAATCATCTGATGTCTCTCCCTTCCCTTTCTTTGTCTCTCCCTTCATCCTAAAAACACACCAGCAGAGGTCGCTGTGTGCCCAGTATTGAGTTGAGGGATTGAATAAATGAGCAGATTTGCAAAGAAGGGACTGGGTACTGACTCCAAATGGAGAAAGAAAGTTTTCTGTTCTGTTTTAAAACCCTCATAGCCTTTTTGGGGTCTGAAAAGCTTTGGGATGATTATGTAGATTGTGTCCAAGATCCAATGGCAAAATAAAGAGCATTTGAGCCATTGATGTCTGCATCTTCCTTCCATTGTAACTGGGACTGATTTTTATTGCACCTTTTCTGTTCCATTGCAAAATAAGGAGTTCATCATTTTTTAAATTTGCAAGCGCCAAGTTTACACCCAGTTAAATAAATATTTAAGTTCTACCACAATCCCATGTAAGCCACCAATCTGCATATTCAATCTAGCTCTCTCTAGTATAGATTGCCATATGCCACTCATTTGAAAGTACACTTTGAGTAAGAGCCATACAGTGGATCTTCTCCTTCCCTCTGAACCTCTCAGCCAGACTTCTCTGTGACCCTTCCCCTCCACTGGAGGTGGGACCAGTTTGCTTTGGCCCAACAATAGCTGTCCAGGTATCAGCTGCCTTGGGGCAGCGGGCAGCCCTCATGCCTGCTGGGCGTTGACACGCTTCTCCACTCTTGGCCTCTTGTAGTTGGGCTTGGCTGCCATAAACAAGTCTTTGCGCTCACCATTATTATGGAGATCCTTTTGATATTTTAAAAGCTGCTACTATGGTTGCCCTTAGTATGTTTTCTATACAAACTCGTTCAGTCCTCCATACCAGATATGTATCTTGGTTGCTCTCTTTAGAACCCTCACCAGTTAGATTTCACTGATAGTAAGTGGAAGACAGAAGTGCCTGGCGTGCTCTGGTCCATGGGGTCACGAAGAGTCGGACATGACTAGACGACTAAACAACAACAAAGGCAGTCAAAAGCACACCATACCCTAGAGAAGGCACATCCTGTTGAGAGTGTACGTCCGGGCTTTGTAAACCAGCTGGGCTTCCAATATCAAGATCCGATACACGAGGGGAATTTGTGGTTCTCCTTGTCAGTGATGGTCAGGGTTGCTGAGAGCTGCAAGTCAGCAACATCTAGAAGACCATAGATTTCCCATCCCTGCTATACTTAGACCACTTACTTTGTCCCTTAGTGCAGGTGAGATTCATCCTAGGCCTCTAAATATCTCTGAGTACTTCTGACAATACTTCTGGTAATACAATCTTATGCAGGATTGTTGTTGTTTGTTGTTGTTGTTTTATTAAAATTATTTAGTTTTTCAGATTTTAAAATTTTACATTCAATTATCCAACCGCCATCATAAAAACAAGATTTTAAAGAACCTCCTGAACTTCCCTCCTCCCCTTTGTGGGTCCTTTTGTTAATCATTTCCTCCTGCATCTTTTATATTGATCCAAATCTTTAACATCTCCATTATATCCAAAATTCCAACATTAAACTACAAGTGTTATTCCAATCCTGCTAATGATTTTAGTTGTTTACAATGCTTTTTAAGGTAAATTATGTATTTCCCCCATTCTTTATTAACATTTTGGTCTTCCTGATTTCTAATTCTTCTGGTCATTTTTGCCATTTCAGCATAATCCATCAACTTCATCTGCCATTCTTCTCTGGTAGAGACTTTGTCTTCTTTCCATCTCTGGACCATTAACATCTGGGCAGCTGTGGTTGCATACATAAATAGTCTTTTCTGCTCTGTTGGGATTTTGGCACCTAGAATTCCTAAAAGAAAAGCTTCAGGTTTTTTAGAAAAGGCAACCGTATTTTAAACATTATTTTTTTCTAATTCATTGTATATCAATCTTATACAGGATTATTGACTCATCTTCAGATTTTGCTCCAGGGTTGTAAACTCCTTCACATAATATTTTATGTTTCAGCTAACATTATTTAACCTCAATTAACATTAAACTATTTGTTTATTAATTGCCTCAATCTTCCCTACAAAAATAACCAAGAAGCATGCCACAGGTAGTTTAAATGCTTTCTTTTTATTGGATTTTAAAAGATGTGACCTGTGTAACAGTTTTACAATCTCAAGAACTTATCTGTAAGTTGGATAAGTGCTTCCTCTAAAAGTATGAATCAATTTTTCCATCTATGGCAATGTACATAAAGAGCCTATGTTTCATGGGCAAGTGTCAAACTTACAGCAATGTTTCATTTGGAACTCTGCAAAAAAAAATTCTGGCCAATGAACCATTAATGGTTCTGTCAGTCAACCAGCTACAAATCCACCTCACAGTTACTGTTGAAGTCAGAGTAGCAAAATTGCAGCAAAAAGCTCAAATCATATATAGGACTGACGCCCTTCTTTGGAAATTAAATCAATGTCCAGACTTTAACATTCAAAAACTTTACTCACAGAAACTTATAGACGAATTAAAACGCAATATTTATCGTCACATGCTTATAGAAGCATGGGCTTGCAGTGTCCTATTATATTTTCCTCTCTTTCCAGAGCTCAGCACTCAGCCTTCTGTGTCTCCATTAGGCCATGCCTTGCAGCTGCTAGGAGAGATTTCCACTTTCACCTTTTCCTGCAGCTTTGCTCTTTCTTTCAAGCAGAGAAAAGCACTCCAAAACTCTATTCAACCTTGCAGTGTTCACAGTGGATTCAAACACACAACCATCTTGCTTACATAAGATGGAGTCTCAGCTTCACTAGATACCTCCCATATGACCAAATTTAGCCAATCACATGAGAACCACTAGAGAACTCTATAGAATCCAGTTACCAACCAATCATATTTAAATACATAGTGATGCATACAAGCATTTATAATTTCAGTGAATTAAATTACTATACTTAACATTTACCTCACTTAGCCAATATTTTACTAGCCTCCTTACAATAATATCATGGGGGATTTTGTCAAAAGCCTTACTGAAATCAATATATGGTATGTCCACGGTATTCCCCTGATTCATCAAGCTTGTACTTTACTCCATCCGGGGAAAAATTGAAATTTGTCTGGCATGACTTATTTTTGAGGAACCCATGCTGGGTCTTAGTAATCATAGCATCCTTTTCTAAGTGCTCACAGACCAACTGTTGAATTCTCTGTTCTAGCACCTTTCCTGAAATTGATGTCCAGTTCACCTGTTGGCAGTTACCTGGGTCTTAGCCCCCCCCCCCCTTTTGAAGATGGGGACAACATTTGCCCACCTCCGCTCTGCAGGGATCTCACCTGTTCTCCAAGAATTCACAAAGAGCAGAGACAGAGGTTCTGAGGTTACATCTGCAAACTCCTTTAGTACCCTTGGATGCAGCTCACCAGACCCTGGAGATTTGAATTCATTTCAAGTAGCCAGGTGTTCCCTTACTACCTCTTTTTATATCTTGGGCTTCAGCTCCCTCCTTACATCATTTATTCTGTTATAACCAGGTTGGGCATCACTTTCCTTATGGGTGAAGACAGAGGCAAAGTAGGTGTTGAGCAGTTCTGCCTTTTCTCTGTAACCCAATAGCATTTCTCTGTCCATCTTCTCCATGCAGAGGACCAGCCACTTGCTTTTTCTTCTTGTTGTTTTGAACATTGCCAAATAAACATTTATTATTATTTTTAGGCTCTCTTGCAAGCCTGAGCTCATTCTGAGCTTTGAGCTGCCTGACATTCTCCTTGCAACTGTTGGCTACTCATGTATACTCCTTCTTTGGCATTTCCCATTTCTTCCATTTCTTATAAATGCCCTTCTTACATCTCAGCTCATCTGTAAGCTCCTTATGCAGCCACACCGGTTTCCCTAGATGCCTTCCACTTTTCTTTGTGCTGGAATTGTGTGCATTTGGGCCTTCAATATTCCACCTTCAAGAAACTCCCATCCATCTTGGGTTCCATGAGAATGCAACCGGAATGCATGTCCAACTACAGTCAACTTTCCCTTGCCTCTGTATCATGAAACAACAACAAGAACCCCCACATCATTCTAAAGGTCATCAATATTATTTTTAAAGTGCACATTTTATATGCACAAAATAAAATGGGATGGGTGGAGGATGGTGGCAGCACCAGGTTTAGGGCGGTGCAGGCAGCTCCCCGCACAGAACACTAACCCAAGGGGACACAAAATAATAATTATAAAATAATAAGGAATAAATAAGGAATTATTGTAAAAATAAGAAATGGGGGCGGGGGCAGATTTTGTCCTCTCTGAGGGCTGCACATTACCAAAATCCATCCCTGATAGTGGCAAGACTCCCAGGTCAAAGGGAATTTGTCACAGCAGCAAGCTCACCCTACCTGGGTTCCTTTGCGCCCTGGGA